AAAGAAACCTAAATTAAACGATTTTGCTCAAAAGATGATAGAAAAGTGTTAGGATAAAACTTAATGACGAAAAAAGTAACGAAACAGAAATTATTCGATCTGATGTGACGATGCTGAAAACTATTAAAACAAGTTACTCAAGAAAAAGCAACAGTAAAGAACCCTAACTTATTCGATTTGTTCCAATGAGATCAAAAAATCTCCCAGAATAGCTTAACCCTTTGGAGACCGACTTCTTTTTTCGAGAAGAGGTAAACGATATCGTCGAAATTAGGTATAACTTAGAAGCTATGAACTATATACTGGTGGCGCTAGCTTTTGTTTCTACAGAGTATGACAACGAACTCTCTGATGGAAAAAGAAATAAAATATACAATGATTCCACTTCGAAATATCCAAAGAACTTGAGCCTTTTCTTTCAATTTGGAGGCCGTATATTTACGGCCTTAGTCCTCAAAGGGGTAATCAAGAAGAAGAAGAGGAAGAAAACCTAACTTTTTCAATTCCCCTCATAAGATGCTGAAAAAGTATGAGGATAACGTGTACGAATATTATGGATGACCCAGTGAAAACAGAACGATTTTATAGTCTGTTGAAGAGTTTAAAAATTAAGTTGTTAGCTATTGTAGTTTTCTTTCATTGCTTCAAATATGAATTCAATATCGAACTCTTTTTAGATTTTGTTCAACATCATCAAGTTAAAATTGAGTTGATAAAACAGGGAACACTTCCTTTACTAGTAAAATATGTTGTGGAAGCTCGATTTGGTCCAAGTAAAGTACAACAAGCAGCTCTTGAAATTCTTCTCGCTCTCTCGTTTCACAACGATGCTTGTTCTATTCTAAAACAGATGGAAATTTTCATGAAACATTGTCGAATTCTTGCTGAAAATACTAAAATCAGATCTCTGCGGTTTACAAAGAGCTGCAGAAGGACTTCTGTGGAAATTAGAAAGAGAAGACGAGGCTGTTGCAAAATCGATTATTTTGAATTCGTACCAGTACGATATCATGACAAGTTATCCGCACAAAGATAAAGAATTGTGCCTTCGAATTCATGAACAATTAATGAAAGATGGATTTAATGTTTGGATTGACCGAGACTGTTTATATGAATCGACAATGGTTGGCATAGCAAATGCCATTGAAAATTCTCAATGTGTATTCATGTGTATGCCGAACACATATAAAGAAAGTGTCTATTGCCAATCGAAAGCGCATTATGCATTCGAACGACGATGCCGTCTAGTTCCAATCATGCTAGAACTCAATTACAAACCTGATGAATGGCTTGGTATCATTGTCAGTGGCAAGATTTATGTGGACTTTGCCAAGGTTGAATTCAAATCGGCTTATGAAAAATTGAAGACTGAGATTACTGAACAACAATAGAAATGCTTAAGCAAATCGTCGACAATATAAAAAGAGAAAGATCCAATCGATACGGATTTCATAAGTCCGAAACATGTTGAGCTAGTTTCCGAATCGATCGAGTGAGTTCCATTTATACATTCTGTAATTGATTCTATAAGAAAGCTGATCAAACAAAAAAAGGCATTTAATAGTAGTTATGGCATCGAGATTTCAATTCAGAGTGGCCATTTTCATGCCGATTGTTTTGCAACAGTCGACGGAATTTCTCGCAGTACTAAATCGCTTTTTGACCGAGACACTATGCTCATTTGATCAGTTGCAGTGAACAATCCCCGTGCAGTATAGATTCGTTTTTCAAATATCGAGTTTTTATTGATTTTCTTTTAAATAAAGGCTATGGTCTTTTGTAAGTTGCCTTCAAAATCGGCTATCTAGTTCCGATCTCAAATTTCGCAAGGAAAACATATCATAATGACATCTAATAGTTTTGAAAGTATCACTTGTTTGTATATCTTCTATTCTGAGATATATGTCATCTTCATTTTCTAATTCTCTTTTCATATTCAAAACACATGAAATTTTCAGGTTTAACATGCCAGATTGAGACTTCTAGTGGTATAAAGTTTGATATCCTAAATCAAGAGTACATTTTCAACCTGACTAGAGGATGTCCGATATTTCTTTTTCTGAAAAACTTAGCATTCGAATTTTCAAGTGCTTTGTCTTTGAATGAGAACCTAGATTATTCTATGTAAAATCACTCCATTCTATAAAAAGGATATTATCGGATTCAAACGCAACAATCACCGGAAACTATTTCTTCACAAATCAATAAAGCCCATGGAACATTTTTTTCCATTTTCACGACTCATTTGAGTAACAGACCTAAATCATTTTTACCACATCGTCAATAAAATATGTCATCCATACGAGCACCTAGAATACGCATTGTTGATCAAGAAAAGAATATTTGTTATTGGTTCCAGTAACAGCGAGCACCTAGTTTTTTTGAAAAATTCAGTGTCATTTTCAGAGATTTATGATAGCGAACCGCAATAGTTAACTTAGTCTGTTGTTAAATAGTACTCTAGTCGATTATGTACCAAAGATTCTATATTGAACGAAAGGACTCATGATCATGTCAAATTATTTCTTCTACGAATTGAACTTGGTAATACAATTCTTCCTCTTTATACACATGTTGATGATAATCGTCTTCTACAACTCTATGAAATGTGTCTTATCAATCCTGAATCAATGTATCAATCACTGAAATTCGAACTGAACGAAAGACATCATATATTACTACCAATTGCCGATTATCTCAGCTTTCTTCAAGAGATCAAACTGTATTGTCCATTGACTTCGACAAATGTGAAAACTGGACGATCTTCTTTTCTTTCTTCTGTAATGTGTATTTTTATGTAGAAACATTCGACCATGCTTTACATGAAAATGAACAAGAAACATCAGCAAGTGTGTTTTAATTCGTATGTTAATTATTTGAGTATTCGTCCTTTGTACTATGAAGTCTTTCACGAAATATGACATTGCAGAAGAATTAGAATTTCACATCATATATATTTCATTACAGTTAGCAAGATAACTAGACGAAAGATAATTGGTACGCCTTTCCGTGTCAATGTTGTGCCAAGATATGTGAAAAAGTAAATACGGAAAAAAATCAGAAAAAAACGTGGAGAATTTTCCGAATTAGAGGCAACATTATTGAAAATGGCATTATTGCCAATGATAAGAGTATTGAGTGTAAGAGTCATGTCTCGACGAATGCTCAGCTAATTCTCATATAAAATGTAGCAAAGAAAGAAGAGAGATTAATCTCTCAAATAAGACATTGTGCAAGAAGATGTGTGGATCTGTAGCTGTGATCTGGATATGTATGTGTCGGCGAAGGTGAAAGCAAGCCCTATACCAAGATTTCAATCGCGTATTACTTATCAATCGAAAGTAAACATAAAGTTTCATTAGGTCTTTCACAAGAATTCCCCATCGTCATCAGTTCTATTCTTGAGTAAGACAGCACCATCTATGTAAACATAAAGTCTGTCGAAAAGTTAGTTACACAATCAAAATGAATGCATGGAGTTGCCTATCTGCTGTCGATTTTGGACGAATAGTTTGCTTGAGAACAAATTCAACTGGTGCTTTTTTTTATGTAATAATATTTATCAAAGTGCACTTCTTCCGATAGCGCATACACATTTTGATTGAAATCGGCTTCGGCTGTTATCGAAGAACAACAATGCTAAGCATCAATCAAAATCCAGTATGAAATAAAAGAAAGATCATCCGGTAAAAGTGATATCTTGATCATCTATGAGTTGCGACATGCAATAGAATCTGAGTAGTAGATCAAAAGAAAACGTTGTTTGTAAGGTAAGGAAGTTCATTGCTTTGAAAATTTGTGAGACCTTTTGGATTTTAACAAAGTTAAATAAAAGGGAAAACAAGGATCTAAGTGTGGATACGGGGCTTTTTCTCATCCACAGCTACATCTTACACATTCAAATACATAGTAAATTTAAAGAAAAGATGCACTGAAATGCAAAGATATCATTTTTCTTTTAAACATTGGGATTGAGACATTGTTTTGTAAACTTATTTATTCTGAACGAAAATACACCAAGCTGAAGTTGATCGAGTTATTAATCGTTCATTGTTACTCTTTGAAGCTCAACTGTTTTTTCAAGAAGAATCATTTATCGATATATGTTAACTCTACGAACAATATTTTCGGTACAATTATTGCCGATTAGAATCGACCGAAATGAAAAATTTTTTTACCTAATTCGAATTTTTTGTTTCTGTACTCAAATTAACTTTATTTTTTGGTAAAATACGGCAAGAATTATGTAAACAGTATATGTATGATGCATTGAAATAAATAAATTATTGAAAATAGTTATCATACACTATCAAGCCAAACCTATCTCCATTTTAAATTAATGAGATATTTTAAAAAATTGTATGAACGACTTTTCTACTTGACAAATAAGTATACACTTGAAGATGTTTTCAATTTTGTGTGATCAATATGTATGCTAAAAATGTTATCATTAAAAATAAAAATATGTTTAGTTTCATGTCTTTTCAAATTGATTTCGTATGCAAGAATCGATAAACTATGTGATCTATTGTAATTATCTTGTCGGTTTTGTCAGTTCACATGTTTTGAAAGTAAAATTCGAAGTTGATATATCAATAGACAAACAATTTTGACAATTCATCAGTAGATTCAGATTAATTGATACATAATTCATAATATTTAAAATTGAAAAAAAACTCTCTGTTTAGGCTCTAATTTACTGCATGTATTTACATATGTACTTAGTGTCAGATTTAGTTTTGCATACTGCCGACAAAACAGATTTTACAAGAAATATGAATAGAAAAAAAAAGAAGACACTATATTCAATGTATATTATGTTTTAGATGTTCGTTAATAAGAGAACAAAGCAATTCTTTTGTTATCGGATGCTGTAACGCTTCAATGGCTCCTAGAAATGAATATAGAAATAAAAATTCGCATAAATTTCAAACATACCAAATGCTGTTTCTAAACGAAAACAAAAAAATATATTTCATTAAAATAAATATGAAGTTTTTCTAGTTAAACATGCCTTTCGCATTAGGAAAAGATTTATCCGTTCGTTGTCGATGAAAATGCCATTGACCATCACGATACGAACATTCAATAATTTGATTATCATATTGACGTAAATCAGATGAGTAAGGCATTGTTGCAAATGGAGATTGCATACCATTTACATATAAGAAAGCTTTTTTCTCCGGTAATTGTCTAAATTAGATAAAAAAATTAAGGTTTATTTTTTTTTATTAAATCAAGGACAAAAAAAATATTTTATGAAAGATAAAATAAATTTTATATACCCTAATTTAGATCTATCAACACAAATTTTTAAACGAAAATCAATTGTATTATCCTCTTTCCATTTAAGTACACGAGGTGATCGACCGGGTATATAAGGCTAAAACAAAAAAAGAATATAATAAAATATTTAAAAATAAAAACAAAACTTTCACATCTTACATCAAGTTCAGGTTGAAAAATAAGACCATCAACTTCATGAGCTATTTGTGCTTGAAACTTAGCACCCACTAACTGCAGCAAACACATAAACCAATAAATATATAGAATAAGTGATTCTGAAAACTTATTCAATAGAAAGTTGTTTGTTTTTGAAAGAAAAAATTTGAATATAATAGAACAAGGGAGAAGGAAATAATCGGAATTTGCACATCTTAAAATGAGGATGTGGATCTATATAGACATGATAGCAATGTGTTAACTGTCATATAAATCAATAAGTAGTGTTTTGTCTAGCGTAATGGCCGGGACAGTAACACTTCTTCGACGATCGGGTTGATCCTTCTGGAGTTTTATATGATCTCTACGGAAGAGAAAACTTACATAAAACATTGACAACCGAGTACTACAAGTAATAAAATAGTAATTATGACACATGCCTAGCACGAACGCTACAGAATCTACCTACCCTCGTAAACAATCATGTTGCATCGTATTAGATTGTAGTTTGTCAGTTCATGCAGTCTAGTATTATAATCGTTTATCTTCGTATTAGAACCAGAGATGCAATCCATTCGGTTCACAGCTTTTCAAAATAGTCGCGGTTTTGATTCAGTTTAAATTTTGAAAAACTTGAACCGATCCCATGTCTGATATAGACAATATGCGGTCTCCATGCATTAAGACAGTAAGCTAGCGATATTGTCTCTAGAAATTTTCGTATTTCTTTTTATGCAATATGAAGAGGTAGAAATAGTTCACTCTTCCAATCTTCACAATACTGTGACTTTAACTTGATAGCAAAATTCATAATTGGTTCTTGTTCATGATCATCACTGTTTCTCGAGATAGCGAATGACAAAGTTTTACAAATCGAAATAAATATTCTTCACTAGAATTTGTCTTACTTTATGTACAGTCGATAAATCCCAAAAGTCTTTATTTCGTATTGAAAATGGATCTAAACTTCGATCAATAAGACCTTTTGTAATAGCTTTATTTCGCACATCAACAATTAAACGACGTATGATATCAAGACGTTCTCTAAATGGTTTTTTCCCTACATTTTCATTCTAAAAAAGAAACAACAATTACTTCTTCAAACAAACTCATTATATCTTCTAGAACCTACTTCATAGACTACAACATCGTAAATTAAATATCTTGGTACTTTCATTCCATTCACATTATCAATGACAAGTTCCTAACAGAAACAAAAAAATACCACAAATAAATTTGTCGAAAAAAAAAAGAATTTCAAAAACCAAAAAGAAAAATACATACACCATCAATAAGTGTATTTGTTAAATGACTTGTACATTCTGGATCTTTTGGAAAACGAAGATGACTAATTTCAAAAACGTTATTATCACGATCAAACATATATATTTTATTTTCATCTTCAATTAACATCATATATCTACAATTAAAATTCAATATTAATAAGAAAAACAAAACAAAAAATCAATTTTCGAAATTTACCTTGTTCCATCAGCTTTCCAACTAACCATATACGGAGATTGAACTATTGTCATATAATTTGTTATATCCATGGATACAGGTTGTGAGCCTGGAAAACCTCGTCTAAACAAATTCAACAATTTTACTTCAAATAAAACTTGTCTCAATCTACCGATTCCATTCACACAATCGTTGACATTTTAGTTGAATAGTTGCCATAGCAGATTGTAAACAAATAGGTATGACGCCAGGTAAACTAACAGCAAATTGTGGATTAGAATTCTAAAGAATTTTTCAAATAAAATTCTATTCTTCTTTTTTTTCATGAGGCAAAATCAATTTACTGCTCGTGGTTCTTCTCGAAATCGTTTATTTGACTGTTCAAAAATATTATTACGTGGACGTTTAATACCACCAGTTCCAACAGGTCGTTCATTAGGTTCATCTTCATCATCACTGTTAGCTATAAATAAAGCCGTTAATATTTTATTTTTATTCAACCAAATTCTGTTCTTACTGAGACACCATTCAGGTCGTGCAGGTGCAGGAATTGTAGTAGAACTTGCATCACCATATTTTTTCAATAGTTCATTGAGATAATCTTGTTTATATATTCCAGGTGGTCGAGCTTTTGAAAACATATCAATTGTAGCATCAATACTTGAAAATAGCATAAAGATTGAAATGAATTTATTTCGAATATCCTCCTCGATCGTAATAGCTACAAGAAATTTGGAGAAAAAATTTGAGTAGCGGAGGCAATTTACTATCAAGATTGGTGCATCTAAAAATTTCTTGAATGAAAACCTCTAGAAAACCAAGACGCAAAAGCCAGCTCTCTGAATGTAATGGAAAGCTTTTTGCAAACAGTGGCATGTGATAGAGCAAAGATATGAGTCGTCTTCGAACTCTACATAATTGACGCTTTCAGATCTTTCTTAATTTGAATTTAGTTCGATAATGCAGAGTTGTGGAGAGCTTGGAGACGATATATATATTTATTCTGATCAAAAAATTCACGAAAATTTGATGCATTATTTAGATGCTCCAGTCTTCATACCAAATCGTTTGGACTATTCAAATCTGTTTTTCAGACCTCTTGTAGCTATTACCATCGAGGAGAAAATTCGAAGATTCAACTGCTTTAAAATTTTGTTTGCTACTATACCTTATATCATGTTCAAGACAAAGATATGCACATATTAAAAATCCGGTTCGATTAAATCCATGTGTACAATGAATACCTAATAAATAAATTTATTTATTTTGCAATAAGACGAATTAGAATATTAATCATACCAATAATATCATTTGGATTCGTACTTAAAAAATCATTACAAATTTTAATAAAACGATTGATTTGCTCATCACTTGGTGTTTCACCATGTCTATAGAAAAAAAAGCCGAACATGAGAATTTTTATCTAAAACTTAATCTTACTACATAATGTATTTTAATGAATATTCTGCAAAAATTGAATCAGTTCGTAATGTTTTTAGAATCGAACTGATTCTATTTCTTATAGTCTGTTTATTAAAATGTTGCATTGTATAGATATGAGTGTTTTCGAACGAAGGGGTTGTCCCACTTCCAATCTTGGAAATATTTAGGCATCTCTATGTGTAGAAATCTCGATCTATTTATTGTCTTACCCTCGACATCGAATTTTTTCATAACGTATATTTTTATCCTTGAATTCAACATCACTTTTATAAAATCGATCTGTATTTGTTAAATCAATGATAATACCGATATTTTTCTATACAAAACATAAATATAACTATCATATATCAATGAGCAAAAGTAGTTCATACTTGCTCACGTTTAACAGAATCAACTAACATGGAACATGTCCATCGTTGACCAGCACCAATTTTTTCTTTAAATTGATCATCTAATGGAGTTTTGAATGCAATAAATTTATCTAAATATCATTTTAAAAATCAAACTAATAGTTTAGTAAAGAATATATTTCATTGATATTTACCAGCGATAATAGTTGATTTTCTTGGACAATCAAGCCATCGAGGTGGTAAAGCTGTTGGATCAAATGTTCGGGTATTTGACGAAGAAGCACTACTTGTAAACATCTACAATGAATAAAAAAAAACAAAAAGATCTTCGTAAAAAAACATTGTTAATATATGACACAATTTGTTCGTCATGTTACATATATATGAATACATATGTGAAGTATGTGAAGTAAGCATCTTTTCTCCTATTGGTTGCGTGTTTTTTTTCATTTGCATCCTGTATTGGCCTCCATATTGATCTCAGAAGGAAGCACAGTGACCTTCTTTATTAGGTACTACTTTACCATACATATTTATTTCGATGGATCAGTCCAAACATTTCTTCACTTATACATATTTTTACTATCGGTTGTAATCATATTTTTATATAACGACACGTATACAAACATAAATTCGTTACTATTATATTATTTTTATTCTTCTTGGTTTCTTTTATGATGTTGTCTTTCTTATCGTTGTTTTTCTCTTTTGTAGAAAAGTTCTGTTGATTGCATTATTTGTTTCGTACGATGGCTTCGCTTTTGCTTCGATCTATTGCACGCAGTTTAAAACCACATGAAACATCAGGATGTCTTCTCAAATCAAGCATCATTTCAACAATGTCATCGCACGAAAACAAAATTCGACAAGGTAATAACTAATATTAGACAACGCCCTTCACGATTACAGTAGTGTATAAAGAACTTTACACTTTATTTTAAAGGTTCATCGGCACCACGACAAAAACGTATTAAAGTCGCTAATCCAATTGTTGAATTGGATGGTGATGAAATGACACGTATTATTTGGGCATGGATTAAAGAAATGGTCAGTTCTTTGTTGTTGTTTTTGTTTTTCAAGTAAAAAGAATTTTTCTATTTCTTAGCTTGTTCTTCCTTATGTCGATGTAGATTGCAAATATTACGATTTAGGGCTTGAAAATCGTGATAAAACAGATGATAAAGTTACTGTTGATTCAGCACATGCTATTCAACGTTATAATGTTGGTATTAAATGTGCTACAATTACACCTGATGAACAACGAGTAGAAGGTAAAAAAAAACAAAGTTATCTTTTTTTGCATATTTTATTTTAAATTTTCAGAATTTAAATTAAAAAAAATGTGGCTTTCACCAAATGGAACTATTCGAAATATTCTCGTATGTTCCATTGTTTTTTTTCTAGAATAAAAAACAACATATAAGTTCTTTATTTAGGGTGGTACTGTCTTTCGTGAACCAATTATTTGCAAAACAATTCCGTTATTAGTTCCGGGCTGGAAACAACCAATTATTATTGGTCGTCATGCTTTTGGCGATCAATATCGTTGTCAAGATATGGTTATTAAAAATCCCGGACGTGTTACATTAAAATATGCACCAGCTGATGGTTCACCAGCAACAGAAGTTGAAGTTTTTAACTTTACTAAATCAGGTGGTGTTTCATTAGCTATGTATAATACCGATGAATCAATCACAGGCTTTGCTCATTCATGTTTTCAATATGCACTTAAAAAAGTAAGAAAAAGAAAAAGTTTGAATTTTAAATTAATAATTTTGTTCTTGATAGAATTATCCATTATATCTGTCAACAAAGAATACAATTCTTAAACGATATGATGGTCGTTTTAAAGATATATTCGAAGAAGTTTATCAACGACAATATAAACAAGATTTTGAAAAAAATAAAATTTGGTATGAACATCGTTTAATCGATGGTAAGCTTCATTGAATATTAACGGTTTTTTTCCTTTCTTCATTGATTGTTTATTTTAGATATGGTTGCACAAGCACTTAAAAGTAGTGGCGGTTTTGTTTGGGCATGCAAAAATTATGATGGTGATGTACAATCCGATATTGTTGCACAAGGTATGAAATGAAAATTAATTTAATAATTAAGAAGTGTTCTTATGGTTGTTTTGAAATAGGTTATGGTAGTCTTGGTCTTATGTCATCAGTACTTGTTTGTCCTGATGGTAAAACAATTGAAGCTGAAGCTGCACATGGTACTGTAACACGTCATTATCGTGAACATCAAAAAGTAAAATAACGTTTGAAAAAATCAAACCATTGATAATGATTTGTATTTTAAAACAGGGAAAATCAACAAGTACAAATCCAATTGCAAGTATTTATGCTTGGACACGTGGTCTTGAACATCGTGGTAAACTTGATGGAAATGAAGAACTTCAACGGTAGATTAATTTCTTTTTTTTTAATAATATTTTATTGTAATTTTAATTTATTTAGTTGGTGTCGTGTACTTGAAGAAGCTTGTGTTGAAACAGTTGATTCACAAAAAATGACTAAAGATCTTGTTGCTTGTATTCATGGATTGAAAAAGTATGAAAATAAACAATTAAAATATATAAATAAATTATTTTCTTTTCTTTTTTAGTGTCAAAGAAGGAATGTATTTGAATACCAAAGATTTTATTAATGAAATTAAAGTAACATTGAACAAAAAACTTAATTATGCTAATTAACAAGCTATCAATTCAAACCATCTTTGATCGATCATTCCTAGAAGATAAAATATATTTAGAATGTTTTTTTTTTCTGTGTGCTCCACTCTTTGATCAATCACACTTCTTTCATTCATACATTTCATACCAAAAAGAATAGTTTGTTTGTTTGCGTGAAATGATAATAAAGATTTAGGATATATTATTAATAATTATTATCGATATTGATCATTCAGGAAAAAAAGATTGTGCTTGAATTTATAGAGATTTTATATCAGATAGACTTGTGTTCGAACATGCGTATTAGTGCATGATTTCAAGCAGAACGATCAATCAATTGCTCCAAGAACAAGTTTACTAAGCTGAAAATATATACAGAGATCATCAATAAGTATGTACCTGTTCGACTGGATGGATATCGAGCTAAGTGGTTACTCGGTGGTTAAGAAAAAAAATGGAGCTAGAAACCGAGAGTCTTTTACTGATGACAAAGTAGCTGTTCAGATGTTGTATAATCTAAAGTAGAAGAGAGCAATCTACAATTGTAATAGTGATAAACTATACGTATTTCTTAGAAATCGATGGAACGAAAAGTCAAAAATAGATGAAGACATAGGTACGCCAATGTGCATTTTCAAAATCATTATGTTTTTGAGTAATGTTTCTGTTAAAAACGAGGCTTCTGCCATAAAAGACGATTTTTCGCCGAGAAAAGTCGACTAAATGTTTTTCTTTGAATAAAAATTTATCGAAATTTGATTTTCTTTATAAAGTTACAAGACTTCACAGTGTCTTCTGTTAAATAAAGAACAAATAAAAATAACATTATACATATATATTGCCATTGCTCTAGCTCCCACTAAGAAATGAAATATAAATTTAAAATTTCTTTTTATCTTTAACTAAGCGTTGCCAATGTTAACTCAAAGTTTCAGCTTAATATGATTCTTTATTAAGAAAAAATTTATACAACTGATTAGCAATCATGAGTTTCTCATCTTTCTTTTTGTTGTTTTATCTTCCAAAGACGTTGCTTTTTCAAAAATTATAGACATTAACGATCTCAAAAAATGACATATAACTTATAAATTATTATATCAGTTATGTACTTTTTAGGAACCGATATTGAGATCATTTCGACTGAATACCAGACCGACTATTTATAAAATATACCTTGTTCAGAAAAAAAAGAATTTATTAAACACAGCTTGATGGAGAAACTTACATCTTGATTCCAGATCCTTAAAAGTTACGCATTACTCCTGTCGCACGTTTGTTCGCACTATCAATAGTATACTGTGGCACTCAAATAAAGATCTATATGAGGAGTATTAAATTTAAAATTCTATGTAGATAATAGTAGATTATGCCCTCTTACGTCCAACTCTATTATTGGTTGGAAATAGACTCTTTTCTTCTGTGTCCATCTCTCTTTGCATACGTATGATTATGTTCTTTTAAATTGTCAAAAGCTTGGTTTCATAGTCTAAAAAGATCTGACTGTTAAAATAACAAAATCATTTATATGTTCTTTTTTTTTTTTTTACAGATGTTTATTCCACTGTGAATTTCTTCTTTAGTATACATTCCATCTATTAAAAAATTATGTTTTCCATTGATTGGCATCAAAAATTTATGGATTTAGTCGTTTATGCAGGTACTAACAATTTATTATTATTCAATACTATCAATCATTGCTTTTTTTATGATTAGCTACGAATCCATGGCAATTTATTTCCTATGTTTTTCTTTTTTTAACACCAATGTTTATCATATCTGGTTATTTAGCATATCGTTTGGCTAAAGATATTGAACGTAATGAAAAAACCAAACGTGCTAAAATACAACATAAAGTCAACATAGCTAAAGTTCGTAAACATGGCAAACATGAATGAACAATATGGTGCTTCGATTTTCTTTTCGTTGTTTTTTTTTTGTTTTATATTGTGCAATAAATGGAAAAAAGAAGAGAAATGATTTTTATGATAAATAAAACAAATTCGAATACGACTTCAAATAAAATTATTTAATTTTAATTTTATTTCTTTGATGTTGTCTATTACGAAAGAAAAAGATGTACATCAAAAACGATGAAATAATTTCAAATGGTTCAAATTATTCATCATAATACATAAGACTTCGTCGTTTTCGTTTGCCAAAAATATTTGGAGGACGTAATGATGCACGTTTACCAAATGGACGTAATGAAGCACGTTTTCCAAATGGTCTTAATGATGCTCGTTTTCCAAATGGTCTTAATGATGCCCGTTGATGTACAACAACAGGACGAAGTGATGCACGACGATAAACATCCATCTTATCATCATATTCTTCATCACTAATATCAATTAAATGATCTTGTTGTTCACTTGAATCAGCATTTGTACACCAAAGAAGAACTAAACAACAAAAAGAAAATATAAACTTCTATTTAATTTTTGATAAAGAATAAAATAAGAATTTACCAAGAGAAATAATGACGAAGATGAATAGAATTGAATATTTGGTAATGTACATTTTTTTGTTATGACACCTTGAACTAAATCTGTAACAGAATTTTGTTTTAATAGGAAATTGTTTGTTGTAACTGAATATATATATGTGCGTGTGTGTGAAAGCTTTTATAGTCTTTAGATATTTTAGAATTATAGAAACAAATTTGTCATCGAGAACAAATCAAATAAACACCCACGTTTATACTCAGTTTATGATACTCTTTTTCTCTTTACATATTGAAAGAGATAAAAAAAAATTATATATGAGAGAAAAATGAGATCTTTTTTTTTCTCTCTTTCTTACGAATCTATTTTGGTATATTTTTCAAACTAAAACAACAATAATCTGCTTTGAAATCATGCTCTAAAGTTAGGTTTTTCTTTCTATGTAATAGATGTCTATCAATGTGTGTACTAAATATGATTTTGAAAACTTCCGTTATTATCCGTGCTTCTATTATTAGCTTTAACAAAATGCCTCATAGTCAAATTCTAACTATTTTTTCATATAGACAAATCAAACAAAGAAAAAAAAAGATACACACTTGTAATACAGATGTATATATATTTATAATCAATCATAAAAATAATGTAGAGATGAACAATAAATAAAAAACATTTGTTCGTGTTTTTTTGTCTTCGTACTTCAGAAAAAAACTAATAAATCATGATTAGACTTTATAATATTTTATATTTCTATTGTCATACAAGGTGCTATTGATGTTATTAGCATATTCTTCCAAATCAGTGAGCAAATATACAACATTTCTAGAAATAGTAACATGTTACTTGAGCTTACTATGTAGCCAATGAATACATAATGAGTGATGATCAAAATAAGAAGAATCTATTCATTGAAAGATGTTGTTAAGAGAAGAACTATCAGATAAAGAAAGAAACGATTCATTGATATACCACTTCATCAAATACAGAAGAATATCTATTAATAAATTTCTTTACTTTTTTAGCAATAAGAATGATAGAATGTAGTCGAAGTCTGTTTAGAAAGATGAATCTTTTTATTTATTAATGTTTTACTCTCCACATTAATTTAATATAATAATGAAATTTTGCAATATTTACAAACGAACAATCAGATGTTCCTTAAAATTTTACTCTCACATACATTTGAACTATGTAAATTTTAATCGGGCATATCAAATGTTTTTTTTTCAATAGATTAATTATCATGATAACATTAAGAACAACATGAATGTTAGATTGACATTGCAATAGATGTAAAACACAAGGCAAAACAAATATGTTTGTCATATGCCTGGATCCTTTTCATTATTATTTCCATATCACGAAACATATTTAAATGAATAGCATTTGAAGCATATGACTTCAATGACACGATTTTATATTTAGAGTAGAAATGTAATTCACAATGAATCGATATGATACAATTCAATATATTCAAATAACTAAATTTATTCGATTAAAAAAGTCCTTTTAACTGTCACCTTGAAGATATACGTACATCAAAAGATTCATTACTCAATTTTCTATAAGATTTAAGAACAATAATAAATGATAACAAATAATCATACTGAGGTCAGCACAAGATTCGATCAATCAAGCAGCATGAATATATTTTCTCTTTAAAGTTACAGAGAAATATACCTTCACGTTCTTGAAATAAAAACAATAATATAGCAAAAAAATTTTTACAAAGAATTGTCCTTAATTGGATTGATATTTGGGACAGATACTTTATTGTTTCTGAATACATAATTTTAGATGGTTGACTTTATGCTTAATCGATTATTTCTTCTTCAACATTGTTGCTCGAGAATAAATTGTTGTCTGCGACATTCTTATCGACCTTTTAGTCTTGAGTTATTGTCACTATATATGCAGAACAGCTGGCGCTGTATTTCAATAAATTCGATTGCTTACTGAATACCATTGAACTAATTTATTATTGTAAACATATGATCCTGAGACAATGATATAATCCAATTGAGAGTTAAATTGAATAGTTTATTGAAAACTTCAAAGTAAAATATTAATTTGATATAGCCAAAATTCTAAATCCTTCATAATTGGAAAGTTGTTTTCGGCTTAAAAACTCGAGAGCAATAGGCTATTGAACTTACTGATTCCGAATATGAGCATGAAACTTATAGATAAGTCTTCCAAGATTCGGCTTTGTGGAAAACTAGTTTTCTGGAGCGAAAACCTTTTTTTCGTCAGAATCAGGGTGTGTCGGTGTGAGTTTAGTGTTAACGGTCAGCGATACAAAAACTAGAACGCATGCCTAGACTCGCACTTCAACCCATATCAATATCTGCATCCACTTTACTAAACAAACTCAGAAAAGGACCTAGAACAACGGAGACATGTTCATACTCTTTTGACTTTTCATTGTTTTTCAATGATAAACTTGAGATGAAAATACGAGAAATTATTTTTGATTTTGGCACAAAATATCATTCCCAATGTGAATGTTGGATGTAGTTGGTTGTGGTTTGAAGAAATGTCTAACTCTACACACATACGTATATCCATACCCTTCAGAGACACATTTTTGAGAACTCAGATCACTTGAAAATGTAGATCTTCTTTTCACCGACACCCTCGATGTATATGGTTTACATAAAATTAAATACCACATTTCTTATGAGTTACTAGTGAAAGCTAAGCATCATTACTAGCGTTTAAAGAAATTCTAAGGCAATAAATATATCAAAAGAATTAGTTTATAATTGTTCTGTCTGCATTACGTTGTTGAATGGTATGTTGCATCAACTGTCGTGTTATGTCGCGTAAAAGGACAATATAATGTACTTAGATAAGTGCTTCGATTGATGTGTCATCTTTGTTTTGAGTCATAAAAGAAAGACTATAAAAAAGAAAATTGTCTTCTGCATTTTCCTCCAAATTGATTGTTTCGAAAAGATAAGGTATGAAGCGTCAAACGTTTTTTTTATTAATCTGCTTTCATGAGTCAAATATCTATGAAAAGTTTTATCGATATGTCATATACCCTGTCAAATTTAGTTTTTTTTTCAAGGAAGTGGGCTCTTCAAAAGATTTATCTTGATCATGTTTAACAAGAAACAATTTTTCTTGCTTTATCTTTCTTTGCTACGACTTACCTATTGTATTGTTAATAAAGATTAACGATTGTTTTTGTTGAAATAGTTTTGAAAATATAAAAATGATTTTGATAACGTCGAGTGCCTAATCTCTTCATTTTTGGAACCAACGAGGGTAGTGAATATTTATTACACGGTTTTGTTTTAACAAGTTAAACTTCTATCCATTTAAAAGCACATACCTCGTGTTGCCGTATTACTTCATAGCTGATCAAGTTCGTATATGATTTTAATTCAATTCATCTATTATTTGTTTTGACTTGTTAATCGTTACCTAGATTACTAATGCTAACGAGAAAAGTCTTCCAACTGATAAATTGCTTTTGTGTTGACACCATGTTCATTATCTAGGCTGAAATGAGCTATGAATATCTTGAAAAGAGTGTATCTCGTTAGTTTATTGCTACAGAGATACTACACTTTTACGATATTTTTTTAAATGAATGCCGTGATTTCACTGAGAAATACCAGAGAAACTGATTTTTGAATTTTGATTTCAAACTTTGAATAGAGGCAGTCCTCACCGAGGATAGCTTTTTTCTTGAATAGTTTAGATCTTGTCGTTGTTCCTATTCTAAGCCACGACGATGTTAATAGCGAGTCTTTTATATCACTCATATAAATCGGCAAACTATATGTTCTTATTTTAGATTAGAATCAAATTAAGGGACTTGAAACTTTCACAACGAATATGCAAAGTTTGAAGTCGAAATTCAAAAATCAGTTTTTCTGGTGTTTCTCAGGAAGACCCACGGGCATTCATTTAAAAAATACTGTAAAAGTACAGTATCTTTGTAGCTATCAGTTAAATGTACGAACTCTTTTCAATGTATTCATAGCTTATTTTGATCTACATAATATACTTAGTCTTAGCGCCAGAGCGGCTTATCAATTGAAGGTATTCCTTTCGTAAGTGACAGTACTAACTATCTCTATTTCGAGCGATCGAAAAATGTGATTCATGCTTATAGAGAATATCGCGTTTCTTCAAAGGTAATATTTTGCAAGAGATAACCTCACGAGACGTGTGCTCCAGAGATCCAAACAGACCACGAGACCTGCCGGCCAGCCTGGGTCTGCCTGTCTGTGACAGACACAGGCCACAATTTTGAGGCCTGCGCCTGTCACAGGCCAGGCCGACCCCTAAGACAGGCCAGGCAGGCCGCTTAAAAATGACAGGCCGCCGGGCCTGTCTACTTTTTCTTCGAAATTGAAGTTTCATCTGAGAATTTCATGATTTTGTTACCAAATAGACACAACCTTCATTAGTTTTCAAAAAATCATATTTAAGCGCGGTGAATCAGACAAATACTGCGGAATGAGTATTAAAGATACTTATAGGAGATCAATACCCTTACCATTCTGAAGAGAAGATGAGCACAAATTTTCATAGTTATCATTATCTACTTGTCATGTTTCTCAATTTTAGTTAAATTAAATGATTCTAAATTCTTTTTTCTGTTGCAGATTTATCACTGATTGAATTCTGTTTCTCTCTTGATCCCTATACTTTGAGTGAAATTGTGATCTGGCGTAAGAAATTCAATGAAAATATTTTTGAACAAAAATCAGATATCTTCCACAAGTTGACTATCTTAGCATTGTTTTTATTTTGTCTACGTATCACCAATGTTCAGTTCGTAAACTCTTAATCAGTAATAAAAATTTTCAACGTATGTGGGTACCTGTGGAATTGTCAATACCCACAGATATCACCAACTCTGAAAAAGGAGAGAGTTCGAAGTTGACATTATTTACACATCCCTACTGCGTCGCACGATTTTTGATTCAGCTGAAGGATAGCCTTTCTTTTAGATACAGACAGCCATAATGACTTCTACTTTTACTTATACAAGACCTTAGAAAATTAAAAATCGGATGGTCCAGAAGTCATAAATAGCTTTTTGTACGAAATTTTACTATTTATATAATGTTATTAATTGTTATCTAACTTCATGTTGAAAGATATATACCGTAAAATTCTCTTGAAACATTCTGTACGGTTTTATTACAAAGTATGATAAAAGAAAGCTACACGAAAAATATTCAAGGTCTCCGAAGCTACCAGCTTTCTAAAGCACGGTGTAGCATTTCTTAACTTTTTGCTAAGCGGTGACAAAAGTATAAGCATATATTAAATTAAATTTTTTGATGCTGTGACGAATGCAGATCTAGTCTTTATAAAAGAAGTGATGCAAAAAGTTGATTCTAGGTTCAGTAACATCATACATTTTTAATCAATTAGAAATAGATAATGAATTAACTTTGATTTGTTTTTATTGTAATCGATTCACTACCAATTGACAATCGATAAAAGAATAATGATTTTAGTCACTTAAAATGGATCTTTTCTAATTTTTATATGAATTACTTTTTACATGAAAGTGTGTCCGCAGTTTTTACAGGTATGCATTGTAGCTGGCTCTTTAATTAAGTTACTTGCTAATTCAGAACGATGCCAATTTTCGCCGAGCGATTTTGACTAGAAATCGATCGTTCTTTCGAGAAAACGTTTTGTAAGTGAACTGGAAACTATTCTTTTTTATACTCCGGCCAACTAGAAATACCTTTGGAAATGAACAGTCTTTGTACTACCCTTAGTTTCACAAGCTCTCAATTATAAAGAAGCATGATATCTTTGTTTAATTGGAAAGCTGACAATTCTCATGGACTTTTCAATTAGAGACTTTTCAACGTAGTGATGTAGATTGAATTCAGTGACTAATACGACTTTTTATGAAGATTATTACTTCTTTCTATGGTACTTTTATCATGATATTGACGTGAAAAAAATGCACAGGCCTGAGAAAATGACAGGCAGGCAGGTCAGGCCGAGAAAATCAGAGAACAGGCACAGGCAGGCTAGGAGGGATGTCAGCCTGTCACAGGCAGACCAGGCCTTCAAAAAGTGGGCCTGTTTGGGCCTCTGATAAGACGGTTCTTTCACAAACTCGGTCTTAAATGTAAATTGTGTATTTGCATATAATTCTTCGTAGGAAGATAAAGAAAACTAAGATATGATATTTGCACACTGGATATGGCAAAAAAATGCATGTACTTAGCCTATCTTGAATCTAATATAGATGAAGGAGACTCGTATCTCTATGCAATTCGTGTACGAAAGAGATTAAATCAATAGCAAATATACTTGTCTTAGTTTTTTCGAACAGATGAGATAGGATAAAATAATCATTATACTGCCATACATTTTAGTGCCTTTTTTGCAGCTTACATTGAGGTCTTAATTTCGTACCCTAATCGATAATCTCCATTGATAGAACCATATGATTGTACATTCTAAATTCAAACATGATTCAATCAAACTTTCTGTTTGAGATCTCTCAAACAACAATAGCTCTAGTGATTCATGTAAACATTTTTTTAGTTGAACCGCAAAGGACAAGTGCGTCCATATGCAACTCAGATGAAGCATTTCTTTCGCTTCATCCCGATTTACTTGAAAAACGCGTCTATAATGCTTTTAAATTAATTTGACAAATAAATTGAATGAATACTTGTAAGCATCATATGTGAGTTATGGAGAGCTACAGCGTAAGTGAATATGTACAAATATATATGGCAGAATAGGAAAAAAGATGATCCCCTCAGGAAACTCAAACTATACATGTGGTGATAGCTAGACAAACGTCTTAAACCATTTAGACTAGAAGAGACATTTAAGCTTCGTTTAGCGTTGAGTCATACGACAGGAAGCATTAATAGTACCTGAAATGACCGATATTAGCTCTTAACATGCGAATGAATGATTTTAAGCCGTGTGTATACACCAATGACCTATTTAAGTTTGAATTCAACATATTGAAAGAGCAATTAGATCAGTTTATCGAGAAAATATCATCTTTATATTTCTTTTATTTACTACAAGATTTAATCTCATATATTTTTCGGGACAAATTTTTGAGATATGCTCTTCAGTGACTAATGTTTGTCCTTTTGAAAATATTCTATAGATTTTGAATTCAAGGAATTTTTATAAGGATATTTGATGCGATTCAAAATTATGAAATAAAAGTGTCCTAAACAATAAATATGCCGAATATTGTGTTTTAACTAGGAATCAAATAAATCGTTGACCGATTTATTTTGAATTCGGATAAAAGTAGGTTTTCTCTTACTATGATAAATATTTATTCTATTACTCTTAAGAATGTATCATGAAAGAAGAGTCAACATGTTTTACTGAATACAATATTAACAAACGTAAAATGACTCTTTCGTTCAGCATTGATTCAAGACCGTGCCAACGTGCTGCACTGTAAAAATAATTTCAGTTCATCATTATGAAATTTTACAGAAATTTCATCAAATGGTTCTCAAAGAGACGACTAAAATAAATACTTGAGATTCCGAGTAGTAAATTTCTTTATTTAGTCCGTTATGACCTATATAGGCTGAAATTAAGAAGCAAAGGGAAACTGTTTCAAAACTTTTCATGTGTTACTTTACAGCAAGCTATATAGAGCAATATCCGTGTCTCACTATGACTGGTTTTTCCTAATAAATACATAATTTGTTTTTCGTCACAAGAAATGATAGGTTTGATGTTTTCTTATTGAAGACCATTATTTAACGTATTTGAAAGTAGAATATTCCTTTATTTTTATATAATTGTTTGCCTTACAAATAGTTAAGAAATAGTGTTACCCTTTTCTTCAAGGACTTTTTCATTCGTCAGCTACTATTGTCGGTAGGAAATCTAAATCCGATACAAAGTCCAATTTTGGACTAGACTGCATAGTTTTAGATTTATTTTTATTAAGACAAAAGTCTTTTTTTAATAAGATTCATAAGACTCGTAGGCGAGAAAATTTTCATATTAAAATAATTTTTGTTTTTGTTATTCATACAAATAGAACATAATGTAAAAGCTGCTGACTATGAAGAGTTTCTGAGAGTTAGTCACGAATTGTTTACAAGTGAGCTTGAAATTTTGAACAGCAAAAGTTCTCGTATTTTGAAGGCGAGATGATAGATATAATGTGTTTAGTTGATGTCGAACATTCTAAAATATTCCTTCATCAGTCGATAAGAATAAAATTTAATAATAACATAATTGTGTAAAATATTCATAATGTTGTGACGTTGTTTCAGTTCAGTATATTGAATGCTGATGAACTTTTAGTATTTCTATTCTCATTGTATTCTCTTGAATAGTTGCAGGATTTTTAGCTGTTCAATAGACAAAATGCGCCACTTGACCATAGTTATTGTTCTTATTGAACTTACAGCTCATTTTCATGTCGAAGTTAAAGGATTGATATTGACAAAAAGTGAAAGTCATACAATGTTATCACAGAGTCAGCCATTAGAAACTGTCAATCTACCTGATATAATTAAAAACGATCCTAAATATCGAATTGATTGTAATCCGGATATTGATGAGTACCGATCTTTCTGTGAGCTTAATCTTTCAATAAATCGAACTTCAAGTACAACGAATCAATCGTGTACATCTCGTGGATGTATATGGGATACGAATGTTGGATCAGGCATTCCTACATGTTACATTCCGATTGAAAAAGGTGGTTATGTATTGAAAGAAGAATCCACTCAACTTTCACCTGCCATAACACAACATTTACTGACTCGTCTCTCAACCAAAACATTACATATACCGTCACAGTCATTCGTCAATTCGATTCCTACCGGTCGAACAAATCAATTTTCCATGTTTGGTCGTGATATTGAAAATTTAAAGGTTCAAATTAGTGTATCCGGTCCTCAAATGGTACGTATGACTATACGTGATGCAAATACAGAACGATATGAAGTTCCTGTTCCTATCCGATGGGAGCCGTCGGCTCCAACAACAGCTGCTCCAGCTAAAATCGAATTTCAAATGAAAAAAACAACGAATGAACAAGTTGGATTTCGAGTTCAACGCACAGACACAAAATCAATTCTATTCGATACAACATTCTTTGCCAACAGTTTTATTTATGATGATCAATTTATTCAAATAATAACAACAATTCCATCTAGAAATATTTATGGTAAATGACTATGAAGAATCTTTTATTTAAGACATACAAATTATTATTTTTTATGCATAGGTTTCGGCGAAAATACTCATCCATCTTTTCGACATATTCTAAAAGGATCATCTCGCTATGGAATTTTTGCTCGAGATCAACCGCCACAGGGTATCAATGAAAATTTGTATGGTACTCATCCATTTTATATGGTTATTGAACCTGATGGACAAACTTTCGGTGTATTAATCTTTAATTCAAATGCACAAGATTATAAATTTGATGAATTTGATAATGATAAAGCAATGCTTACTTATCGAACTATTGGCGGTATTTTAGATGTGTTCTTTTTTGCTGGACCATCCCCAGAAATGGTCATTCGGCAATATCAAACAGTAATTGGTCGTCCTTATATGCCACCTTATTGGGCACTTGGATTTCAACTTTGTCGATATGGTTATGACACACTTGGAAATATGAAAGCTGCTATGTTCAGAACACTCAATGGAAGTATTCCTATTGATGTTCAGTACGTATCAAACGCTTGTTTAATAACTAGCTGTTTCTTTCCAAAAATTCTTTCTAGATATGGTGATATTGATTATTTTCGAAAGAGACTCGATTTCACTTGGAATTCAATAGATTTTGATGGTTTGCCTGAATATGTCAATTGGTTACATGACAATGGAATGAAATTCATTACGATTCTCGATCCAGCAATTGACTCACAAGAAAAAAACTATTCAACTTATGACGAAGGAGAAAAAGCCAATATTTGGATAAAATGGCCTGCACGTCAAAATATTCAATTTAATGAAACAGGCAATCGAAACATGATCGGTTATGTTTGGCCTGATGGTCTGTCATTAAGTTTCTTCCTTTTTCTCTTGCATAATTCAGTAATAATCATAGAAAAGACTGAAAAACTCGTTCTTTCTATCAAAAAGATGAGGTCTTGTATCTATCAGAACATATGAAGACAAAAATGTTACAAAAAAATGTCGAGAAATTCGAAATAATACGTAGAAAATGAAAAAAATTATACATAGTATGAATATCAAGTAATAAAATGAGTAATTGAGATTCATGGCAATTATCCAGCATAAATGATTCTCATATGAAATTATTCATAATCTATTAGTTATATACTTACCTAGATATCCATCTTGATATAATTACCTTTGTATTTTCATTAATGTTTACTGAATTTAGGCAAAACTGTATTTCCTGACTTTTTCTATCCACCCAGTTTCAATTGGTGGAAATCACAAATTGTCGATTATCATAGGAAACTGAAATTTGATGGCATTTGGATTGATATGAAGTAATATTTGCTTTGATATTTTTTTTCCGTATTTGTTGGTGATTATAGTGAACCAGCTAATTTTGATACAAACAAATTGCAACCATGGAATTGGAATCTAACTGTACCTAGAAATGAATCATGGAATCTTCATTGTCCAGTCGGTCTCGAACGTTTGGATAATCCACCATATAAAACAGCAATTTGTGGTGATTATATCTCTGATAAAACTTTATGCATGATAGGTGAACAAACCGATGGCAGGGAAAGAACTTATACTCATTATGATGTTCATAATTTATATGGCTGGTCAAAGATAATTGCTACATTACCGGCAGCACGCGCCACTGAAAATAAACGATCAATTGTGATTAGTCGATCCACATTTCCAACATCTGGTACCTTTAGTGGTCATTGGCTCGGTGATAATATAGCACATTGGTCACATCTTAAATATAACATTATTGGAATGTTAGAATTCAATTTATTTGGTATTCCTTATATTGGCGCTGATATTTGTGGTTTCTTTCAAAATACAACGGAACAAATGTGTCAAAGATGGATGCAATTAGGTTTGAATCAGTATTTTCTAATAGATACTTATTTTTGAAATATATACCGAAAAAATGGATTCTCTTCACATATGACGAAAGACATTTCGATATAATCAGATAGTAGCAAAGAATTTTGTTTTCGAATTATTTTTGAATTTTAAGATTATTTAAGGGTAGTTGCAAACCAAATATGTTGACCTTAGAGGATTTTTTAGAGTTTTGAACGGATTAAAAATTTCGAGGCTAGAAATCTGTTACTCTTCTCATTGTGACATTGTTCGCGGAGTCGTTTATAGGTTGATAGATGTTTTAGCATATTGACTGAAATCCTTTCAACCAAGAACCAGAAACTAATGATCATGTTATCGAACTATATCTTATAGGTGCTTTCAATCCATTCTTTCGAAATCACAATGGTAACAATGAAAACGGTATCAAGTTTATTGAGCAAGATCCTGGAATATTTTCGCCAGCTGTAGTCACATCGAATCGTCGTGCAGTTGAACTACGATATACTCTCATACCATATTTATACACATTATTCTATCGTGCTCATATTTCTGGCGGTACTGTTGTACGTTCGATGGCTCACGTATTTCCAACAATTCCTGAATGTTGGCCACTTGATGAACAATTTTTATGGGGTTCATCATTAATCATTGCTCCAGTTATCCATGAAAATCACACCAGTAAATCTGTCTATCTGCCTTGGACTGAACGATGGTTTGATTATTATACGGGTCAAGAAATAAAAACACTTAATCAAACAGTTGTTTCAGCACCCTATGATTTTATACCATTGTTTTTACGTGGTGGTACTATAATTCCTCATCAACAATCGGCTAGGAATACTGTAGAATCGCGTAAGAAACCTTTGTTTCTCGTTGTCGCACTAGACAAGAACAACGATGCTTCTGGTGATCTATTCTGGGATGATGGCGAATCGATTGATACTTATGAAAAATTGCTTTTCAATTATTTTATTTTCCATTATAAATCACAAAGTTTAACAATTGAACCTTGGACATATAAATATCCACAAATGGGCAATGAAATCAAATTAGAAGAAATCAAAATATTCGGTTTGAATACAAATCCAACGAGAATTTTATGGAATGGACAAGAGTTAACACCAGTACAACAATGGGCATTCAATACAACAATGAATGTCTTACATATGACAAAACTTGCATTAGACATGGCTAAAACACATAAATTCACTTTTCTTTAAATATTTATCTTCTATATTTTCTTGTTGATTATTTTTCAACATAGAATAAATAACAAGAGAACAGTCGAATCGAACTGATATCTCTATTACTGCTGCAATTTTAACAATAATCATATCTTCCTAATAAATGAATGATAGATTTCTATCGATCTGAAATACAGGCATGTCTCTATAAGAACTGGTCTGTTGATGGTCGAAGTTTTGCTATGCACTCGACTTCGATCATTTTTGTCAACTGCAATGATTAGCATTGATCACAAAAACGATAAAGATATGGAAAAATCAGCATAAGAGCGGGCAAATCGTAGTTATTTCGCAGAAATACATAGAAGTGACATGCGTATATTGTTTCCTATTAACCCAAGCAAATTTGAAAAAGAACTTTTCAAAAACTATGGCACATACTATGAGCTTATAAAACATAAGTGTAATCAAATAGTTTTTCGCTACATTTGACATCAGAACTATTTGTAACTTTTTCGATAATATATTTGTTTCAAACAATGAAAATGCTATGCAAAAATGTTGTTTTCAACATTTGATTCCAATAGTTTACATAATTATGTACAATAATTATTGGCAGATAGAACAATATTCATTCTTCACCAATACTTGGTCTTGATTGAAGACTTTCTGCTCAAAATAAGAGTTTCATCATGCGAAATGCTTCGATAACATGATTGTGATCTGAGTCTTGAAACTTGGCGAGGCAAAGTGATGTAAAACAAACTTTTCAGAAATTATGTTTTCAGAAAAAAACAGTTTGACCAACATTATCACATGAAACAAATGCATAAAGCCGGAAAAAGAGACACACATAGAAGACATTTTCAAATAAAATAACATAAAACAAAACAATAGTTAAACGTACACTCTTTTCGTGTAAATATCACTAATGTGTATTGATTTTCACTCTTCGATCTTTCATTAGAGCCTCACAAGTACGAAGCATCATGTTTAACTGATTTGGGTTGATGGTCGAAAGCGAACGAAACAGAGAAGAAGACGAAAACCCATCTAATCTCGAGTAAGCTTTGATAAATCTAATTTGTTTAATAAATCATTTTCAACTGAATATACTAGTAGAAGTTATAATGGTGGGATCGTCATGGGTGAGTGTAATTGTCAATGTGAAGATAATCGATTTAACTGTGTTCTAATGTTTCGACTAATACATCGCCGTATACTATTGAGCTAGTCGTTTTACTCTTTTCACAGTAGACTGTTGTTAGTAAACCCCCTCCTGCATTAGAAGACCCCCCCACATTAGTAGACCCTCCCATAATACAAGACCCCCCTGGACAAAAATTTCATCAGGTGTAATAGAAGACTCCCCTTTAATTAATTAATTTTTTGCTAATTAGGAACTTTAATTAGGGAATTTTCGTCCAGAAGTGCACAGTTTTTAGGTTTTTTAGCTGGGAATATTTAGACAGTGGGTTCAAATGTATCCNCATTGTTTTCTCTCTGTTCTCAATATACTACTTTGACGAACACTGTCGTCGAAGTGCCACATTCAGAACAGAGAAAAAAGAAAGAGAAAAGAATAATGTTTTATTCACAATCTATCAATTTATTTCATGTCGCTTCATTGTCGAAGTTGACCTATTGAAAGAGATAGAATATTTTCGCCTCATTCTTTGCGTGTAATAAGTGTTTGTTCAATAAGTAATCTCTATTATTAGTTTGTTTAGCATTCCAGATTTGTGTCAAATTTAAATATCAATAAATGATAATTGATGCTTTTTGTGAGTCATATAAGGGTGTTTCATTGGAAAACGATGTCGCTTCTACTGATTAAAAGCGAAAAATAAAAACATCAGATGCATACAGTCTCATATCAGTTATTGTAAAAGAAACGATTATGTATGGGTTGGCCACCAATATTTTGGATTCAGTAGTATTCAAGCCCTGTAGGAGAACATCTAAGAGAGGTTGTAAAAGGGGAAAATTCCATTAATGTCCAAGTCAAGTCAAGTCAAATTCAAGTCAAGTCAAGTCAAACCCAAGTCAAGTCAAGTCAAGTCAAGTCAAGTCTGACTTGACTTGACTTGACTTGACTTGACTTGAACTTGAGACATTTTGGACTTGACTTGCCCAGCTCTGTTCAATACAGAGCTCACATTTGAGAATTCACTGTAAACACCTCACGAGTAGGTTTGTTTTCAAAGAGGTTGATTGTAAACCTTTAAAAAAGTCATGTCAAAAAGAAAAACTGTAATATATGTCTCGCTGCATCTTCATCTCTTCTTTCCAGCGATGAAAACTGCAGCTCTCTATCCTCTTTCTGTCAAAAGTTATTCAAAAAATATCACATCGGCAATAATACTACCGAACACATATCATAGCGAAAAAAGTCTTATCGAAAGTTTATTATTATGATATTAGTTGAAGTATAATCAAATAGCATAGAAATAAAGAGCATTCTGTTCTCTATCAAAATATATAGAAAGAAAGTTTGTTAAACCTTACTATACGGTATTAAAGCATCACTGTCACTACTTTCGACATGCCCTAAGTATTATTACTGCGATTATGATCATAATATAGGAATACTATCCTTACTATAAATCAATATGTTACCAATAATTTATGCAGAGTTAACTGTCTTTAGCAAATCGAAAGAATCAGAACTAAGTAAGTTCTTATAATGCATGGCACCGCAATGAAATCCTAAAGTGTAGTTAAAGTTAAATTTGTTCGCCTTTCTAAGACATAATCTATTGAAAAAAGTCTCACATAAATAAATGAACATGCCAGCGCATGAAGTTTGTATTTGAATATCTCTACAGAATGACCTAGATCTCCAACATTGTGTAAAACACGATGGAATCGGTATTAAAATATATAGTGAGAACGACAAACCTTCAACTTGTTTCACAGACTACTACAGACATGTTACGACCTGTCATTCAAATTTTCTGCTGGTGAGTGTGTATGAATCTTCACTTCAGCGCATGCCATCAAAGTTGTGCAGAGGATGATCTAACTCGAGGATGTGGATGGGTTTGAGTACGTGTGCTGATGCCTTCTTATAGTCGACAGCCTCATTTTCCGTCAGCTGCATTGAAAAATTGACTAAGAATGATTTCTAGCGACATCTCTTTCTACTTTTCGACTATAGATTCAAGTACAATAAAACATAGAAACGGTATAAAATCCTTTATTTATAATGCTCTTCTAACGAAAATTGACTTTTGAGTAAAAACTCCTAGTTGTCAAGGTTATCCATGGAGATATTGGTAGGAATGGCAAACAAACATAACTTGAGTGTTCACTGAGGATCAGCTGCTGCCATTACTGTTGTTGTATTTCTTTTATTTGGTTCGACAGTTTTCATCATGAGTGGATTTGAATCGCTTTCTAAACCATTGAAGCCACGATCGGAGGTTGCCGTCCATACACTTCATCCAACACTGGAACAAAAACCACGTGCTAAATACAGTGTACCAGACTGGTTCAATCACAAGTGAGAGTTTTACCCTGAGATATTTTGTATCGTACTACTGAAATTTTTTTATAGTTATGCGATATCATATGATGCAGAACGTAGTCGAAATGTATCACATCAAGTACGACAAGATGGTCGGCGATTAATCAATGAAACATATAATGAATCATGGTGGAATAAACATGATAAGTACGTTTGCAAATATTATTTATTTTTAGTTGAATAAAATAAGCATGGCAACAGAGACAACAAAATTACTATAACGTATAAAAATCTATACTTCTTTGATGAAAAATGAATACACTATAGCCATTAGAATCTTCGAAAATAGTGTTCACTGTTTGTTTGTTTTTTCTTATTGAATGATATCATTTGTTTATGTGTTTTCATTCAGTGATGTACGAATTTCTGATCGACTTGATGAAGTAGATAAATGGCGTAAAACACTTGAATATACAATTCAAGATGTTGATCGAGAAATTCAAGCTATACAATCTACTAAAGAACAATGTGAACGATATCTTGAACATATGCGAAGTCCATTAGGTACTATTTCTATTTTATTTATTTTTATTATTCGAAATAAAAGTATTTATTTAGATATTTCATTGGAAAATAATGTTACACGTGATGGTCGTAAAGCTATTGATAATGTTGATGATGAAGCTGAACGTGAATTGAAAAAAGTATATAATTGTTTAAATCAAAATAAAATCGAATATTTCTTTTTTAAGGAAGTTTATGTTATTGACGGTATTAAACGACAACTTCATCAACAAGTTCAAACAGCATTTGATCAAATTGCTCGTCTTAATGAAGCTAAACAACAATTAATTCGAGTAAATATTTTCTTTTTATAAATAATCTATTCTATATTACAATCAACTTTAGGATTTACAAGATAAACATACGGCTTTTGCAATCTGTGAAGAAAACTTACAATTAAATGAATTTTCACCAAATATTAGTTATAAACCTGATCCATGTCGACCAATCAAAGGACAAATAACACCAGAAGAATGGATTGCATTTTCAAAATATAATAAAGATCGTGCAGAAAAAGAAAGTATGTTCAAGCAAAAACAATCCAAGCGAAATATTTTACTAGAACATATTGATTGTTTTAGTTTATGAATCAACACGTCTTCGTGAAAGTATCTTTCATACAATTGGTCAGTCATCAGCTGATCTTGAATCGCAAAGCAAAGCAAGTGAATATGCATTACGGAAACGTCTTCATGAACTTGAACGATCACTTAGAGAACTTGAATGGCAAAAGAAACAAGTATTTCTTAATTCATCAAGTCGTTGTTTTTTTTTCATTACTTTCTGTTATTATTATTCTAGACGGAAGAGGAAATACTTAGTAATGAAAATGATATTGATCGTTTAGAAAAAGCTATTCGAGGTAAATAAAAACATAAAGAACTTCCTCCGAAAGAAAAGAATCTTTATTCATTGTTTTAATTTAGATAAAGAACCATTAATTAAATTAGCTATGTCTCGACAAGAAAATCGTCATAGTCGTCCAGGAATGGATTTAGTTCGTGATGAAGTTACCTATGGAGTATGCTGATCATGCTCTTTTTTTTACTTTCATTTTATCTTCTTTTTACAAATCTAAATTTTAGTTATGTGATGAAATGCAACAATTAAAAGCTGAAAAACGTGCCTTAGAAGATCAATTAAAACAAACAAAGTAAAACAAAAAAGAAAATAAGATTTTTGTTTTTTCGAAAAATTCGAAATAAATTTTTTTCTAGGCATGCATGGAATATTCTTCAACAACAATTACATCGAATTGAAGATGAAATAGCAGTTAAATCAAATTCAATTATGCTTGAAAGACGAGCTTTAGAAACACGACGTCGTTTAAATACAGAAATAACACCAAATACGGAAACGGATCGAAATCGTCAATTACTTAATATGGATTCAAGTGGCCTTCGTCATGTTCTTCAATCTATTTATTAAAACTTTGATTTATTTATCCCAAATATTTTGATAAATATAAAAGAAAACAAAAACATTTATTTTTTTATTACAGTGAGTGTGTGACTGCACATCTTATTTTAATCTTTAATAAAATCGAAAAGAATTATGTCACGATGGTTTGATAAATAAAACAGGAATTATATAGAATAGAATCCATGAAATAAAACTGATAGATTATAAATGCTTGACATATATTTTTGTATTACAATCTAATTAATATGAAGGATACAATCAATCAGCTAGAAACTTTTACCACTGATATTGCATCTGAAATTAGAAGACATATGCTTGAAGAAAAATAAATGAAACTATGTTTCCGTGGTGCTTTTTCTGGAAGGTCGTGGCATTTCATAGGACTATATGGGACATGCTCATAAGCTCCCCTCCTCTAACTTTGTTCGGTCAGGCTGAATAGTCTTTTTTTTTTAGATATCTTAGACTATACCTCGGCAGTAATTTTAAGATTTTTCAAAAATCTCGCTTTCTTTACCGAAACACGATCTAAAAAGAGTGTTGAAGCATATAGAGTAAATATTCTGCCTCTTCCTCTCAGACCATGAGAGACATTACCATGGAAACGTCATCGATCATGACCGACGATGTCAACAAATCGTCACAGACATGACAGACACCTTAGCAACAACTGTCTCTCCTGCCCCCATGTCACAGACTGTAATAGACGTCGTTGCTATACGATCAAAGGTCAGATACTAATAAGTTTCCGTTATAATATATGAGCTATTTTCTTATCGTATTTTTGAAAGATTACATTGTGCTTCACATTTTAGTCTCAATGAGATTTCGCTAACAACGTTTCTTATTAATGAGAGAGGTACATCAAAGTTCGGATCCAAAACAGAGATGTTAGCATTCAAGACTCCATATAGTCAGAAGAATTAATTTCATGTCTGACGAACATGTCCAAGTATCAGTAGTAAAAATTTCAGTCCGATCAGACAAAGTTAGCAAAGGGGAATCGTAAACGAGTCCGATGGAAAATTAGTATTTTTCCGAATACTTTGTTTAAATTTGTTTTCCTCGAATGTGTGTCTCGTTATTTTAGATGCTCTATTTATAATAAAAATTTCAGGCAGACCAGTTATATCTTATTCAAGAACGAGAAATAGTCGAAAAAAGAGGACGAGTACCCTCCATATCTCTCATCCGTCTTCCTGATGTTACAGATGAACATATGTGATCAAATTTCGTCTTATGAAATTCTAGGTAAAGTTATTTTCAATAGAAAATCTACAGTTCAAATGAATAAACTTATATATCATCGATAGGCATATATAATATTAATATGAATATTATAAAGATTTCATATAATTTTTGTATAATTCTTTCTTCTTTTTTATCTACTTTTTATTGATTAGTTCAATAAGAAAAATTAAATATACTTTTTTTTAGTCATCAAATGATGAAAATCTGCATAATTTTTATTGTAAAATACAAATAAAATAGTACTTCTACTCTTGCTTACATTATCATTGAAGAGAATTACAAATTGATTTGTGTGTATTAAATGAAAACCAACTCTACCATTTTCTAATACACGTACATGTACAAAAATATACACGAGAAAAAGAAACAACGAAGGTGACAATTTATGGAGAACAAGAAAAACATATCTAATAACATAAAACCCGAGGTACGTATTTCTTGGAAGATATGTTAAATTGAGCAAAATCGTGACTAGATGCAGCTTGATTAACACTAAATTAAAATTAAATAAAAAAAAAGAGAAAATATCATAAAAATCAGATATTAAACAAAATGTTTATCTTACACTAGTCTATGTATGAATAATTTAAATGCAAGATTTCAAAAACTGATCACAATTGATTAAATGAAAGAAAATTAAGGGAATCTAAATATTTATTCACTGTTTTACAGAATGTTTTAAACGAAAAACAAAACCATCAGTGAAACAGAATTGAATAAATTTATACATAGAAGACAGTATGTCGTTCAAAACAAAAACACAAGGAAACCATGAATATAAATGTTGCAATAATCATTTTTTTTCCCCATTATTTTGATAGTTCTAGAATAAAACAAATACTTTTGTTGTTTTAATTTTTATAGTCGAACAATGTAAAACTATTTCTTAATGAATAAAGTAAACTAACCTTAGACTGATTTTTAACATCGAGAAATATGTGTTATTGGTGTTGATGATATATATGATTTATTATCAGCTGTAGGAGAAGATATTATCAGTGGAGTGAGTTTTGCTGCAGTTAAAATCATTTCTTTTTCATCGTCATTATTACTAGAACTGATATGTGAAGAATTATTATAATTATCATCTGATATATGTACATCTTCATCAATATTATACATTTTTAATTGTTGTTGATGTTGAGGAGCTCGTTTATCTGATATATATGAAATAGACGGTTTATCACAATCTTCTTCATCTTCTTGTTGCATTTTAGCATATGATTCTTGATGTGGTGATCGTGTTAATGAAACACGTGTTACATTAAAAAATGGTTGTCGTCGAAAACTACGATTGTCAGCATTAGATGAATGATTGTCAGTAGTAGTAATACTAGTAGTATTAGCTATATTGCTATTATCTTTATTTTCTGTTGATGCAGATGCTGAGATTGTAGTTGGTCGTTTAAAATTTGTAGATAGTTTTGTTAGAATACCACGTGATGGATGTTGCTGACGTTTAGTTGATTCTTCCTAGAAAATTAAAATATAGAATTTTTCCATAATTTGAGTGTCAAATCTAATTTCATAAGGCAGATAGACCAAACTTAAACAACATTAGCAGTATTATTAGTCGTACTCCTTGTTGAATGTAAAGTAAGATGAAACTATATTTCTGTTGAGTAGAGATGTGAAATGTTGATCTAAATACCGGTAGTAAGTTACCGACACAGAGTTCACTGGTGTATTGATTACACTAAATGTCCGCATTCACTGGAGTATTAAGACACGAATCCTATCAAACGATGCCTTTTTTAAAGCGGCGTGTTTCAGTTAAAGATAGGCGGGCTCGGGGTCACGATTATAATTAAGTATTCTATTATAAACCATACCAATTCGAACATAATTCACGAGCGATCACTAATATGTGCTAATTATCGACCAAATAAATCAACAAACGAGTATTGGAAAATAGTTTTAGATGTGATACGAATGAAATTCGAAATCGGCTTCTCTAGACCGGAACCAAAAATATGTTTGCTCTCGCATATCTCTATTTCCAATACTTCAGCAAACACTGAGTCAATAAAGTCAGTAGGTAGTACTCTAAAACTGCACATTCTTACTGTTGAGTATCCAATGATCTATCTTGGCGTTGGTTGTAAGACTGGACAAAAAACTTATCTTCTTCTCAACAGAGCAATAGAGAACTTCAAATATCATAGATAATCTATTTCTTCTTTGAATCTCTAGGATCTTTCTTAAATAATTATCGTTTAATGATTTCATACCAATTGTTTTTGTGCTCTCGTTAATTTAACTTTTTGATCAATGGCTTGTTGTTGTGAAATAAGTTTTTGTCGGTTTTCTTTTGAAAAACGATTATGCCATCGTTCATTAATTGAATTTGAATTAAATTGTAATGAAATTGTTTCACTAAGATCATTATTTTCGTTTTGATTTTGTAAATCATTATGATCAATCATTTCTTCACATGATTTCGATTTTTTCATACGATTAAAACGTGGTAAAGGTCGTATACGTGCTATTGATGCAACATTATGCTTCGTATTAATACGAACATGATCACTTGGATGTAGAAAACGATAATAAATAAATTGAAACAAAACTGCAAACCAAAAACCAATACAAACAAATGTAACAAGAGAATATTTCAATATAGAATTTGTTTCAGCAGAATGAATTGCATAAATAATTGAAAATGAAATGTTTTCAATATAATAGATTGTATAAAAACCAATATAATGTAAACGAGTATCACCTTTACGTAAATTCTAAAACATAAGAATAAATAAATTTTTGTAGACTCTTTTTTGTGAAATATGATCTAAAAGGATTGTTGAAGTATAGGAATAAGAATTTGGATTCCTCCCAGACCGTGATCAACGTTTGTCGAAGACCATCACAGACACCTTAGCAACTTCTCTCCACTCTACAGACTATGACAAACGTTACTAATATACGACTGTAGACAATGCATCAATGAGGTCTCGTTATCATATATGAACTACTTCCTTATTGTATTTTTGAAGGATTAATTAGTAGAATGATGAATGAGTGTATCCCAAAATAGATAGAATAAAATAATCTCTCTGTGATTAGCAAGAACAGCTACATTGTGTTTCACATATTAACACTGCAGAGATTGTGCTAATAACTTTTATCTTACAACAAAAGGAATTTACCATATAGCAAAATATAAATATGTATGAACAAACAAGATTGTAACATTTTTCAAAAATTGCTTCTCGTGGATTATATTTTGTTTGATCACTAATACAAAAAATTGTACGCTAAATAGAAGAAAAACAAAACCAAACGTTTGCATTTATAAAGAAATGTATAATTCATAATATTTACAAAACGAAGAATCCAGAAAAGCATTCCAAACCAATGTGCAACAAGAATAATCCAAAACCATGAACGAAATGTTGCAGCAAACATTGCAAGTGCTAGAACTCGTGGTGTAATTAAAAATAGATACCAAAACTTAATAGAAATATTCATAAGTTTCAATTAAAAAATAATAACACTAAATACTTATCAATAATTCATACATACCCATTGAATAATTGTACTCCACCAAGAAACTAATTGTGGAGGAGGTTTACCTTTTGGCCAACCATGTGGTGAGTGTGTTAATTGCATATGTCTCCAACATCTTGAATAACCACTTAATGCATATGCTAATGAACCAAGTGATGAAATAATTGATAAACATTGCTTTGCAAATAGAGTATCGACTGAAAAAAAAAGAAACATATTAAAGTTGATTTTGAATAAAAAGCGAAAAAAAAAGAAACTGATTTCTTACATTTCATTGACATTGAACCAAGTCGTAACATAATATACAATTGTAATACAACCTGAGAACCAGAATCCATAAAACAATCAAATACACGTAATAATGCAATATCAGCATCAATTAAAATTTGTTTTGTTAAATAAAAACGTTTCCATTTTGGACTATGACGTTTTTGAAAACCTTTCCATGTATAATATAAACCACGAATATATCTAAATAATATTAATAGATTTAAAAGTTCCTATCTTCTGAAAACTGTAGTGTTGTTCAAAGATACTCCCTCCTCATTGAATATTAGTCCTTGTGAGAGCTAAACGTCTGGAAATTCTTCTTCAAGTAGTTCACAGATATATAAGTCAGTGGTAATATCAGCGACAAAATCTCTCAAGTTCTAACAGAGTTATAAGAGATGACATTCGCGATCACTGTGAATTTCGTAACTCGAGGACAGACAAAATTGGTTGACTTGTCCAATCCATCATTTTTGTAACTCTGCATTGTAGCTAATTCTGATATAAATATTATCGAAATTCATCAAGTTATTGATAAACTAAATTATTTTTACTGAAAACATGGATCGGGAAAAACATCATAGAATGCCATTGAACAATAAATAGCTCAGCGAAGTTTGATGGATCAATTTAAGATTGTTTAGAAGGTGTTCCGGCATGATTAGCAATTATTGCTTGAAAGTTTCAAAAGCAAGTGCTTTTTACTAAACGAAAACAACGAATTGATTTTTCAAGAAAACTTTATGGCAAACTATGCTATAAAAGGATACGGCCTGCATACGATTATAGAAAAATTATGTCTGTAAGACTCTAGAGGACAGCTACTAGAGATTCTCACGCTTTAAACTATCTGAAATAATTTTTAATATAATTCTCAGCAACTAGAGTCGTAATATTGTATGCTTCGATGAAGACAGTTAGATTTTATTTTTTTCCATCAGAACTTAAAACTGTTTGCAACAAGTTTTTTTTTCTGTGAAATCTTGGCAAATGAAGATAATTACTCCACTTCGGAGAAAAATATCAGTAATTATCGATCTGTCAGCATGAAATCATAGTTTCACTAGTGTAAGTTTTCTATTATATTAATTATTAAACTTACTTAAGACATAAATCAAGTTGAAGTACAAGTATAACAATTCGAATAATCCATGTAAAAACATCAGCAGTTGTTGATGATAAATGAAAAGTTTTTTTTTTTGGTTTTTCTTCAGGTATTTGTGGTTGATGTCTTATTCGTGATATATGAGCATCAACTTGATCTTCAACATTATCTTTTTCCATTAGATCATCTGTTTGACAATATGAAGTTTGATGTGATGTTTCATATTCTGTTTTACTTTGATCATTAGCAGCTGCTTTTAATTGACTACTGTCAATATACCAAACAAGTGAAAATACCGATAATGTTAAATTTGGTAAAATAACACACATTAATGTTAATATAAATAACCAATAGGCACCTTCTAAATAATACGCATGTGCCAAAACAATGTCAGTAACCATATCAAAAAAGAATGCAAATACACCCCAAGCATAAATAAATACTTCAAAAACATTGATTGTCATTGTATCAGGTATAAAATCTGCAACCATGGTACCTGGTGATGGTTGAGAAAAAAGATGAGGTTGTAAATCTTGATCATTATTTGTTGAAATAAATTCAGCTGGACATGGTGGAAGTGGAATATCAGTTGTATTGGCTAATGTTGAACGACGTCGTTGCATTCGAATTTTTTCTTCTTCATTTAATGGAAAATGTAATTGTTGAGGTTCATTATCATCAATTGGTGACATCGATGATGATGATGATGGTGATGTTTTAATATTAGTTAGTAATATTTCATCGATTTCTTTAGGTGGTATTGGTTCAGGACAATGTGTTGTTCCTGTTGCTAATATAACTTCTTTACCGAGAAGACCTAATGGATTAGCACGATTTAATTCTTGATGTGTTAAATCTTTGATTGATTGCAAGAGATTAAAACCAGTTGATTGTACTGATGGACCTTCACCTTCTGGTGTAGTACTAGTTGTTGAAATGGTCTTTGCACGTGATCGATTGAGTTCGGATATGGAAGAATTTGATTGACGCGTAACTGATGATGGAGAAGGTTGCTCTGGTCGAAATATTACTCTCATTGGATTTTCTATAGAGAAGAAAAAAAAGAAAGCAATCAATTATTGAGATTTCTGATTTCGACATTTGGTTAACAGACATTCAGGATTGATGAAAAATATTTTATTTTGAAAAAGAAAAGCTAATAGATATTTGGATAAATTTACATCTTTTCGACAGTGTTGAATAGAGCTGTAAACTGATGCATTGGTCGGTGGCTGAAACTTTTCAATGAGTTTTTCAAAATATTCTTAATTTTCGAGAATTTTTGACATGAAAAAGAATTTATTAACAAGGAATCAGACAGTACAATTGTCAAAAACTGATTTAGAATGTTAGAAACTTTTAAAAATCAAATACCTATTTTGTATCACGACGGCGGCATGACTGAATAGCTGGAATGTTGGCAACGACGGCGACTCAGGTGGTCGATTTACACCTCTTTTTATGAGTTGAAGTTTCTTTTTATGACTGACTCTCAATATGATGGTAACATCAAAATAGAGAATATTGTAAAAATTCGAGTGTGATAAAAGAATTAATGATACACTCATTGTTATCGATCAGTAATTATCACTAATCAGATTAGATTATATACATCCGAGCAGGTAAGCATTCAACCCGAGCTTTCGGGTTCAGTCTTGAATGGGATCATTCTTAGCTAATTAATAAAAGAATGCAGAAGCAAGCCAAAGGAAAGAATTTCAGACTTGGCTATGGTAGACCTACACATAGTGGAGTAAATGATCCAAAAATCGAAAGTCTTCAGACATCCTAAAAAAGCCAAAAATACTTAAAAACAGACTTACCCAAAGAAATACCTGAAAAGAATACCCCTACATTTCAGCTAGTCTCTTGTATGAGGTGGCCACTAATGGCAGATTCAATAGTCCGATATATTCTCTGCAACTATGACTAGCTGTAGTTCTGAACAACAGGCCGATCTGACGCAGAGTTCTTGTGCTCCGTTGCTTGAACATTCCGTACACACTAACTAAACACAAGAGCAGGTGTATGTCACAACATAGTCAGCATAATATCGAACGAGTGATTCGAGACAAATAGCCGTTAGAGACTTGCCCAAAGTCATTGCACACAGTACCTTTAGGAAAGGATACGTATCGAACAATGTAGTTACTCAGCCATAGCGGCTAAAATGCTTAGACAACTACCCAAATATTCGACATTGTCTGAACTGATTGGATAGTTTCGGAACCTGAACACCAAGCCAAAGTTCGAGTTTGACGCATGCTTACTCCTAAATGATTGTCATATTCCATATGATGATGACATCGATAAAATTTCTTGACTTTAGCAATCAATTTTATCCTTTTTTCTTTCTATCGATTTAAATAAGATATATAAAAGATGAATGGAGTTTCAGGATATTTAGAGCTAAAAATCAAATTACTGTTGTTAATATGTGCCGGAAATCGATATCGGCATTTAGACATTTCTAGTCACAACATCTAATCATTTTCTCTTAAACCTATTTTAATTGATAATACGAGAATGCATTACAAATTTGCATAAAACAAGACTCATACAAAATTTATCACCTATATTGCACCCAACAGAAAACTTCAATCGATCTTTCTGAAAAATAATTAATTAAGATAGAGGAATGTGCTTTTACATACCTTGATTCAATGCCAATCTTGTATATGCTTGGTCATCGTTTTCTTGTTTTCTATAATTAATTTGCTCATGTTCGTTTAACGATATTGACCGATGAACAGATGATGACGGTCCTTTAGATTTTTGATCGGACATTTGTAATTGATAAAAAAAATTCAATTTAACCTTTTGAAAACATTATGTATACTATAATTTATCGATCAATACATAAAATATTCTTATCAACATCTTATATCAAAATGTAAAATCTAGAATATTAATAAAGAAATACAGGACATACAACAAAATTTTTGTATTTTATTTTCAGTATTAAAGATTTTACTGAGCAAAAATAAAATATTTATTTATATTTTTTACATTCCTTCTAATGTTTCATGTTTAAGTAATGTTTGTAAATTACTCAATTTTTGTTTAAGAACATTTAAACAAGATAAGAGAATCTAATAGATAAAATAAAAATCAATTATTTTATATTTAGAAAATACAAAACAAAAAACAAATACCGTTTCAGGTTTCAGTGCACCAGTAGATTCAACATTAAAATAAAATTTATTTGGAACTTTATTAGCATCAAATGCTGCTTCATGCTCTTGTTCAGCTAATTCTAAATTATTTTTTTTGTTGATAAATATTTGTTTTTTCTTCTAATTAGAAAATATTCTTTTTACCAGAATGTTCGGAATGTGGCCATTCTTCTGGAACTGGATAAATAGTATGACGAAGTGCATTATCAGGATCATATTCAAATGAAACACCCTGTAAAGAAAAACAAAGAATTTATTAATTGAAAAAGAAGAAAACTTACACAAGTTGGAATCCATTTTGCATGTTCTTTGCCAAAACCTTTTCGTGCATGAGCTTTTAAACGAAGTTCTTGGCCCTGTCGAAGTTTAACAATAAGAATGTCTAAGGAATGCAAAAAAAAAAGAAAGGATTTTACAAAGTTCTTCTGAAAACGACGTATTGGCTTATGTTTTCGAAATATCTTCATGATAATACCATTGTCCAATAAATAAAAGATACGTGACATATTTTATTTCACAGCTTAGTTTCAAATGTATCACGATATTGAGTTTCTTATAGATGAATAATTTGATCAGTAGAAACCAAAAGACTTGACCTTTGCTTTTCAAGATAGAAGCTGTGCATTTAATTTCTTTGGCTTCTTTTTTCTATCATCTTACTCTTGATTTCCCTACCATTCTTATTTACGTCATTCTTCACATGTTGTTATATCGTTTTGGTATTCTTCCTTTATTCTATTCGCTATCTGTTTATCATCATTTCACTCTTCCATTCTTTCTCTTACTTTCAGCATCATTCACTTTACTAAAACACATGGGATCACTTTTATCGACGGCTCAAAGCAATCTCTCGTTTGCCCGAACAATCTTTCACCATACTGCACTTCAACTCTTTATTTAGAATGGTTTCTCTTCATCTATTAAGAAAAAGAAATTAATGTGGAATTCATATTTTATTCTTTCTGAAAGTTCCTATTCGATCTTAATGTTTAAATACTATTACAAAAGCTTACTCTTCAGAAAATGACTCTCGCTAATTTATGCAGAAAAAAAAGAAACTCTCTTTTCAAATAAATTTTATTAAAGCATATTTAAGTAAACCGTTCTTTAAATAATAACGATAGAAAAAAAAAAATCTTACGTTCAATAAAATGATCTTGTCCTTCATCATCATTTTTTGCTTTTGAAGTTACTGGTACTAAATGTGGATTACTTGTGACAAGATCAACTGATGTAACCTAAAACATATTGAATATAAATGAAATCAATCGTCGTTTTTTTTTTGTTTAATCTTACATTTCTTGTTTGTTCTTCTCTATTACGTACATCAAGTGTAAATTCAACTGAACATTGTGGACAAAAACCTTCACATGAACAATCACGATGATAAGTCATTTTATCAACAAGTTCTTCACTATATAATGGAATTAAACCAATACGATGTGCAAGAAATTCATCAAATAAAACTGTTGTATTTGAATCAATTTGTACTGAATCAATTGCTATTGTTGGTGTTTCAGCAATCATACAACGACGTATTGCATTAGCTACACTTAAATCAGTATTTTCAATAACAAATTTTATATTCTCTTCAGTTAAATCAGTCACATGCACAGTTGGTTGATTTGCATATGGCATTTTGAAATCTTTCAATTATTTCAAATGAAACAAAAAATTACATAAAGATCGTTTTATATATATATACATTTGTCAGTCACTATGGACCAATAACAATGTTGGTGAGCATGTCGCTATAAAACAGTTCGTTATAGAATGTCGCTAGTTATATAAAAAAAAAACAATTATAATAGATGCCTTAAGGGATTATTCTAATCAATGCATGAAATATAAATTATAATGATAAGAAGATAAGGAAGAACCATAAGATATAGACAATGATTGTAATCAATCGACATACAAAGAAAAAAGAGAAAAGAGAATGCCAGCGGAAAGAATGTTGTATGATCGGTCAATTAATATTTAACGTAAATACAATGCTTGAGATAAGTTTTCGAAAATATAATCAAAATTTCCAAATCTTACATACGATCTTCAATGATTATATTGAATCGTTTTTTTTTTGTTATGAATTCAAACTTTATTTGATATATGTAATTTAAAGAAATTGTTTTTTTTTCATTGAAGGAATATTTATCGTTTTTTTCTTTTTCTTAACATTAATTTCTAATTATATGTGATTTTTAATATAAAGACTAAGTAAAGCAATATCGTACATGGATCAAGTCATTGTGATCTATTTCTAAGCCGATATGGATTATATTCAACAGAATAAGAACAACGCAAATGATCAGTGAGCGAAGCCAAATGAATTATTATCAAAAGTGGATTCAAAATAATCATGAATGTGAAGAATATAATAAGAGAGAGGTAAAATAACTTAAAATACTAATTAAAGGGTTCACTAATATAACAAAAAAAAAATTATTTTTGGATCGGACATTAAAAACATTATGTTTTAGTTTCGATGTAATTAATTATTAAATATTTTCCACTGGTGTAAACACAAAGGATTAGCATTTCACACGTGATGATTGACAGAAACTCAAGCATCTCATCAAATATCAGTAAAGCTTATAAATAAATTTCATACATATTTTAAGTTATTTTCTAATTAATTTCTGTTATAAATGGAATAATGAATAAGAATGAAAAATCTTTTTTTTTGTATAAAATAATTGATAATCTACTAATGACTTTTGGGAAATTTCTCCTACAGTTATCTTAGTTGTTACTTAATTATTTTTTCAAGGCAAAAACATTTCACTTCAAAACTTCAGAAAGTCTCCAGTCGTATTGTCCTTGATGTTCTCGTGCACGACCATACAATGCTTATTGAATACTTGTCATCATTAATCAAATCATACTATTGATTAAGTTTATGACAAACAATATTTAATTATAACTTTAATTAGTTCTATCTAACTAGTCTTATTTTTAACAAGACACAAGGTAGCCACTTAAGTCACTCAGAAAGTTCCATCACTTTCAAAAAATAATTCATAAAAAAGAAAAGATTTCGCAATTATCTACTTACATAAAAACTTCTCTGCGTGAGCAGCACTTCCTTATTCTGGTCTCATAAGCAATAACAATCTATATAATGAGAATAACATTTGACTGTTTCTCACGTACCAGACGAAATAAAAATTATATTATGTCTATTGTGTTCTGATTTAAACAATCGTGGGACATAAATAAAAAGAGGATGGACTAACCGTGCTTATTAAAAAAAAAAACTAGACAATATTAGACAACAACAACAGTGCTTGGTGTAAGATCTCGTCATTTTCGTATTGACAAGACTTAATTTACCTCTGATTAAAAAATTGAATTAATTAATTGTTGGAACGAAGATAAACATAAATTTGTGCAAGCAACAAGCAATTATAATTGAAAACCTTCCAACCATGAACACTTTTGACCGATCTCGACAGTGCCCACATTCGAGAGGTTTAACCATATAGTACAGTTGACAACATTTTAGTAATGCTTGATACAAAGTTATCAATGACCAGACTCGAGTTAGATTCTGGTATCGAACACTGTTCTCTTTCTCTTGAGAAAATAAATTTCTTAATCTTTTTTCTTTCTTTCATTTCGCTGTCGGAAACAAATGTTATGTCCTTCACATGTTTTCATCCTTGATATTTCGTCAATATTCCGCAGTTAAGACAATATGATTATGCGATAGAGTTTTCTTCTTATTTACTCCATATCAATAGAGAAAAGATCGTGCGATACATATTTTCTTGTTCCACTAGGCTTTTCCCTACTCTCTTAGAGAACTTTTTAATGACAGACGTGACGGACGAAGTATAACTCGATCTTTTTCTTCTTTAAGAAAAGTACGAAAGATATTTCTTATCTATTGTTGAGAGTATCAGAATCGATTTGCATATGACTTCATTCTGATGATACTTTTAATCAAGAACTATTTTCTGCTACAGTTTTGAGCATTCATATGGTTATTGTTAACATCATTAATTGTTCTTTCATAGTTGTCTCTCATTATCTTTTTGATGTTTTTTTTTGTCTTGTTTTGACTCAATTTGATAGTGTCGTATCATTATCTTGTGATCAATAATAATTTCATAGAAATATAGGCACTTACTTCATATGAAACATTACGGTTACTATTTCGATTGTTTTGCTATAAACACATAGTTAGAAAGTATGTTTTAATGAATAATACCTTTTTGACTGATCTGGCACAGTAACAAACAAATCATAACAGATACAAAATAATTTGCATTGATATTAGTTCTATTGTGACAAAAACTTCATCAAACGGTGACCTACATAACATTACCACTATTTGAAAGAAAGGTTGAATAATGGCAATATAATGCTAAACAATTAATCCTTATAATGCAGTTAAATATAACTTTACAATCACTCTGACATCAGCAACTTCTTTTTTTGTATCATGATGTTGTTATTATTCAAGTTTTCTTTCAAACTTATTCATTGTTTTTATTGTAGAACTGAATATTTGAATGTTCAATATCAACTTAAAGACATTCATTTATATCTTAGTAAGAATTAATTGGCATATGTAAATATTTATGTATCATTTGATAGATTAAAATCCATTTCTTGTTGTTACAGTTTGATTTCTAACGGTAAATGTTTGTTTTGTAATAAATTGAAACCTCATGTCACAAGTGATGTCTTTAGTGCTGATGATGAATATACTTAGTAAAGAAAAAGTCAAAAATCCAGATTGAGCAAATAAAATCCAGAACTTTAAATATATATATATATTATTACAAGACATAGACAAGAGCAGCTAATGGATGGACTAAAAGTTTTGTGATAAAAATTTGTTTATTTTTTGCTCTTTTGAAAGTATTCCCTAGAAGTCATAAGCTATCGATTAAGATCAGCATATTGTGCACTTTCCGATTATGATCTGATAGATTTTATCTCAGTTTTTGTTTGAGTGTAGTGAAATATTTTTTTGAAAAACCGAAAAAAAATGAGTTTGGACGGAAAGTATTAGTCGAATGTTCTAGTGTAAATGAATTATCATTTTGATCTGCTTGAAAATATCTTAGATGTGTCAATAATTATGAATGATGATCAAAATTTTGTCCTCTCTTTGAAAATGGAATTCGAAATATTGTGTCTATTTTTATTCGAGACTAGCAAAGAAATTTTTAATAGATTTAAACAATTCGATTGAATGATCAACCCGTAGGCTTTTTCCTAACCCTTATAAGTTCTTCTGCGAAAATATCAAAAAATATTTTAGTCTCTCATGCTATTGAACGGATGCTGTACAAGATTTTATATTGAACTAAACTATGGTTTTTACCTAAGTAAAACTATAAACACTTTGCCAAGAACTCCTTTCTATAGAAGACGCCTTTTGGCGAAAAAGGCGGTTTTTCAAAAATGAGGAATAAAGAGAAACACAAATTGAAAGTGAAAGATAGAAAAGAAAATGCTGTGATATAATGAAAGTAGAAACGCGTACGGAAAATTTTCCGTGAGTATTTCAAAAGAGCATCTTATTGATTTCGAGAAAATTTCTAAGTCCACATCATTCGGAAAGAGCACGAAATTCTGGCCATAACCGTTAGCTTTTGACTTCTCAGAAACATTTTCAACCTGGTCAAAAATAAACAAACATTTTGTTTAACTTATATACTCCAATGCTCTAACAAAAATAGTGTACAGAAAAAAATGTTATTCTTTTTCAAAATTTAAATAATATTATTTGTTCAAAACATGTTTGACTGTTTTAATAACATTAGAAACTTGTGGCACAGAATTCTGTTCCAGAGTTACTGCATATGGAAGTGGAACATCAGCACCAGCAACACGTATAGGTGGTGCATCAAGATAATCAAAAGCATCGCCTGAAAAAGAAATACATGAAGTAACTTTAATTTTCTTATTTGTTGAAATTTACTTTCACATATTCTAGAAATTATTTCACTTCCAATACCACATTGTAGCCAACCAAATTCAACAGGAACTAGATGATGAGTCTTTTTAACAGATATTTTTATTATTTCTTCATCAAGTGGTCTTAATGTTCGTAGATTAATAATCTATAATATATTAATAAGAAAAAATGATTTTGAAAAACCAAATTTAACAAACTTCGCAATCAATTCCATTTTCTTCTAACTTTTTCGCAGCTTCCAAACATATTTTAAGACCAATTGAATGCGAGACGAGTGTTATATGTTTTCCTTTACGTTCAATTTTTCCTTTACCAATAGGTAAAACAAAGTCAGGTGATAAAGCTTCATCAGAAATTGGAAACTGTTGACCATAAAGTAGTTCATTTTCCAGAAAAACAACTACATATACAACAATAAAATAAAAACAATAATTGTAACAAAAAAAAACTACCTGGATCATCATCACGAATAGCAGCTTTAAGTAAACCTCGACAATCTTCAGCTGAATAAGGTGAAATGACTTTCAAACCAGGACATTGACTATACCAGGTTGAAAAATCTTGAGAATGTTGAGCAGCCACACCTTAATAAAATAAAAATCTGTTAGCATAATCCCTGTGGAATTAGGATGTAAAACACGATGTAGATGCTATTGTTAATTATAGGAATATTATTACATTTTGGGGACATATTTCTTTGCCATCCTTTTTTTTTTTTTAACTCTTCAGAAATACAATAAAAAAGAAGTCGTTCTTATATTATAACAAGACTTTATTGATATGCGGTATTTAATCGTATATTAATAACATCTGTCACGGTTTGGAGCGGAGGCGGGGGGGGGGGGACTTTTAGATCGTGTTTCATAAAAGTTCAGGTAGTTTTGTAAATGAGAACTATGAATAATCAAATCGAGATTAATTAATTATCTATAATTATCTTAGTTTATATTATTCTCGTTCTTTTATACCGCACGGCTATATCTATGTTTATCAAGATCAAAAAATGAATTATTTACCAGCAGCTGCTCCATTTGGTCCACGAAAAACGATTGGTACTTTAACCTGAATAATAATTCAAAAGGAATTGCTTTTAAAAAAAAATGCTTTTTGCTGATATCTTACTTTGCCTGATGACATATAATAAGTTTTAGCTGCTGAATTAATCACTTGATCAATAGCTTGCATAGAAAAATTAAATGTCATAAATTCACAAATTGGTCGAAGGCCAGCCTTTTTTTATTATACAAAAAAAAAAAAAACAAATACGAAATTCATGTTTGCTTTTATATACAAATTTCTTTACCATAGCTGCACCTGTAGCTAATCCAGCAAAACCCATTTCAGTAATTGGTGTATCAACAATACGTTTATCACCATATTTTTTCCAAAGACCTTTTGATAATTTATAAGCACCATCATATTGTGCTACTTCTTCCCCGATTAAAAAAACTCGTTCATCACGTTCGATTTCTTCATCCATTGCTTTAATTATAGCCTCACGAATTGTAATCTCAATAAAAATTGATTCTCAAAAACAAGAAAAATCAAGGAAATGACATACAGTCTTTTCTGCAAGAACTCTAGATGTAACAGAAAATGATCGACGAAAAAGTATAATTGAAGCATGAGACTAAAAAATGATTGAACATAATTAATCACGTGTAAATAAAATTAATACCTTCAAAAGATCTCTGATTGACTTCATGCTAAATATATCAACCGATATTTTTATAATCAAATGTACAATGCAATAAAAGAACGTTTTTTCTCTTATTCTTGTCTTAGTCATTCGTAGAACATTTTCTTTTTTACGTAGTTAGATTTGCTTCTATTACGAGATATGCACTCCATGACCTATGGTTGAATGAAGTGCAACTATTCAGTCAATAGTATTATTTAAGAGAATCTATAGCTGTCTTTTATTTTTAATCTATGAAAATTAAGTTTTGAAAAAGCATTGTTCAACTTGTATAAATTATACAAATATTAATAGTTGTAAATACTTTTTTATAAATTTTATCACTATAAGTAGAATCTATAAACGATCCTATAATACCAATCATTAGTTTTTGCAAATTGTCGAGTTGAACCAAGCACTCTTGTATGTCAATACAATAGACAATATCTAGTTTTCATTGCATGAAATCACAGATTTTGCAACTATTAATATTTCATTTATACAAAGACGTAATTGATAAATTGAATTGCATGTTTAAATGCCATAAGATCAAACACATGGTCTTTATATAGCTCACACATTGTTAGCAGATTCTTTATACATTTGATTAATAGTGTGGTATCAATCGATCTTATGTGAAAATTTAAGTGTTAACAAATTTTAAACGTAGTTTGTCATTGAATTTGAGACATTTCGTGCTAAGGGCAAGTTTCTATAAACATATACTGTAGACTGAAAACGTGTTGCTTGTGCTGCTCTCTATTAATTTTGACGAAAGTAATTCTTATCATTCTATCAAGCATGTGTCAATGTTTCTATCGAGCATATGATAAGTACGTTTAATTTTCTAGTCTTGACTATAATATATCAAAATATTCTGGATTTACTAATTGCTTCAAGGTTTCATATAGATGTCACTGGTAGAAAGTATATCAACTAATAGTTGCGAAAAAATACTTTAATATCTCTGGTTATATATCAATATAGCAGAACTGATATTTTCAGTAATAATGCTTTGATTGCAATCAAAGTGAATCTATAAAGATTAGTTAAAAATTCAGAGTTTACAAATGAATACAATGAAGTATTTAGAGACTAATGAATTCGATCTACAATCAGAAAGTGATGGAATCGTGTCACATGTAAATCGAGTTACAAATATTACCCTGTTCAAGAATTTTACAAAATGATGTCACTTGATTAAGCAATATAAATCTATTGAAAAAAAAAAGTTTACATTCATGATATTCATCGATGGAGAATATCTCACAATCAATGGGAATTTTTCTGTGAAAATTATCTTGATGGCTATAGGATGCATAAAATATTATAGTATAATAAAAAAAATACCGGTAAAAAATGAGAGATGATTGATTATAGACAGAATCAAATAAAACCGATTGACTCAGAGATGAAGCCGGTACCGATTGTGAATCATATAAGTTTTGATCAAGAAACTATCAGAAGAATTTGTTATTCGTTGGAATTTAAGTTTTATGTATATTTGAAACATCACAAAACAATTGTGTTCATGTTGTTGCTGAAAAATATCTTGTCTATCACCTGGCTATAGTGCATTGGATGTGTCGATTTTAAATACTGTGCGAAAAATTGTAAATAAGTTTGAAATAGAAAAAAATAGACTAAAACCTCGAATTATGAGGTCCTTATAAAGATATTTTGTTTGGTTCAACCGAAAAAAACAAGAACACTTTCATGATAAAAAAAAAATACCATCGCTTAGTTGTTGTTATTTGAGCTAATGAAAACATTGTTGTCGTGACTATACCTTTTTTGCGTTTGCTGCATATTTTTTTTCCTGCTGGATGATGGATCGTCGAACAATTTTAGTTATTATGACTATTGATAGAGTTGCAATAGATATAGTTTGACATGTAAAGGACAATAATGAATTTGATAAGCGATCACTCTACTGATTTAGAGTGGCGCGTAATCAGAAGGAAATTCATATCTCTCTAGTGGTGAACCCCCTTCCCTAATTTTGTCGTGGTTACAATACTATACTGAAGAGATTGCAAATATAAGAAACATGTTAAAATAATTATTTTTCTACTGGATCTTGTAATTTGCGCAGTAAGTTTTATATTTGGTTACGATTATACAAGTGGTAATATTTTTTACAATTCAATCGTTTATTTTATGCCTACGCGAGAACTACTCTATCTAAAGTCTCATAGTATGGACTCATATAGGACCGACAAGGAAGTATCGATAAGACTAGAAAAAGACTAAAAGTGTTCGTCCACATGGGCTTTTCGAGCCAAGTTATGACCAATGTAGTGAATTTTTGGTCCATTTTTAGGTATTTATTGCAAAAACAAATAATGGAGTTTCGGCTGAGTATTGTGGTCATAGATTGTTCTAATGACTTGTGAAATATTCTTAAGAGTGTCAAATGAAAAGATTATTCCTTTGTCAAGATATTGAATTTCGAAAAAAAAGTCGTTCGTCGCAGACGTGTCACAAAAATCAAGTTTATCTGAAAATTCAATACTTGAACAAACGTACATTATTTTTGACTGAAACTTTCAGGACATTCTACAACTCATCAGAACTATCTATGAACAAAAATGTCACGCTTAAATTTCATTGCATGATTTTTCAGTAAGTACCTAAAAGTAGGTCGAAGATTCAGTACAACTGCTGCAACTCGTCTCCAAAGATTCATGGGAACGAATCATTTTAGACTTTGACTAATTTGACCAAAGCGTTCATGAATACTCAATTGATCTAATAACACATGAGCTCCCAAAATTCTATCAAATTCAATTTTATTGTATGATAAGTAAATAAATAAGCTAAATATGAGGCTTATTTTTTAACTCATATTTTAAAAATGTCTTTCAATCATCTTTACCACAACGTTTTTTCATGTAGATATCTCTTGAAAATTGTATATCAATATTTCTGAATTGAATACGAAGAAATTCATCATTAACAAGCAAAATAAGAATACGCATTAAAGTAGTCACTAGCTACAATATTATCTTTGTTTTGAAAGGTTCTTTTTGTCGGTCAATAACAGACGATTATAATGACAAAAACTAATTTTCACTTATTCATTTATATTACAAAACAAAAGTAAAAATGATTTTCATTTCATATTACATGTTTTACTGTCGATAACCTGTCATTCACTATTTCTAGTCTTAGGACTTGACTGATAAATATAAATAGAATATATGCGATTTTTATACTAAAAACTTGAATTATTGTCGCTTTATGTTTGATATTATTATTTGTTACGATAAGAGAATTAAAAAGAACCAACCATTTTTTATGTTTGCAGATACTTGAAAGTTTGTTTCTGACTTTCATTTATTTCCTATCTGATAAGAATATGGGTGGCAAACAATCGCTTTTAAGTGATGAAGATTTACGTGATTATCAAGTAGATTTGAACAAAATTTATAAATGTAAAAAGTTGTTCTTTTGTTTTCTTTTTTGAATAGACATTAACATTTTTAAATCGTCAGGAAATTTTGAAGTAAGAGAAAAACTTTCGTCTCTGTTTGTTAATTTAATTATTTTTTCTTTTTTTCTAGAGTTCTCAAAAGATTTATTCAACTTACATCGGTAAATACTCAACATGAAAGACGGTCTGAACGACGCTTATCGAAAAAACAAGCTATAAAACTTCCTGAACTTCGTGTAAGATAATTTTCCAATAATAAAATTTATGTTTAATATTTCATTTTTTTTTATTTATATAGGAAAATCCATTTCGTGAACGAATTGTTGAAGTATTTTCTTCTGAACAGGATGGGTCATTAACATTTGAAGATTTTCTTGATATGATGAGTGTTTTTTCTGAACATGCACCGAAATCTGTTAAAGTTTCTTATGCATTTAAAATTTATCGTAAATATTTATTTAATATTTTTCTCTCGTTTTAATCTATTTAATATCTTATTTTCAGAAGGAATTAATACAAAACACCGACCAAGTAAGAAATTAATATTATATATATATTAAATGATTTAATTGATCTTTTTTTCGTTTTGTTTCTTAAGATAATGTAGCGCCAACACTAAATGCAATTGATCTGTATGATATAAAAGAAATTGTTCAACATTTATCAGGAAAACAATTTAATGATGCAGATTTAACAAAAATTGCCGAAGCAGTATGTTCATTTTTTTGGCAAAAACAAAAAAAAATTTTGATTTTATATTTTAAAAATTTTAGGTTATTAATGAAGTTGATCTTCGTGGTGATAAAAAAATAACTGCTGAAATTTTTGAATATTTTCTTTCTAATGTACCTGATTTTCCCTCGTAAGTTATTAAGAAATTATAATACAATAGAAATATATGTGACTTTTGTTTTAGATCGTTTGTTATTAAATTAAGTGATGGTAAATTATAATCAATTTGTTAGTTCCACAAACTTAACTACACGTGAAACTACAATACGATCAGTTAAACAATTCGAGAGATATCGAAGACATAAGGATCATGAATAAAAATTAATCTTTTTTTTTTGTAAGGGCAAATGTATAAAATATTTATCTAATGAGTCAATTATTATTTCTTATTTCTCGTTTTATTAAAATCGAAACGAGAGAATATAATAAAAATTTTTAAAAATCAAATAATAAACAATCAGGTCTTCATCGAATTATTTGATGATTTAATTTGACTTCAGTCTCAAAGATTATATATAATGCCAATTTTTATTTTATAGCAGCATTTTAAAAAAATTCCGCATTTTCTTAATGTTTTTCTGAATGCATATAATATTCTTATGTTTATGAATTACTAGCCATGTTATGGTGAAATGTCAATCAGAACTCGACCAAGAAGATGTGTAACATCTGCCGATAACCATAGAAAATTGTCGTTTTTTCGTAGAAGAATGAAAACTTGTTCTTGCGTTCTGTGGGAAAAAATTGTGACGCTCCTTCCAAGATCGACAGCATCAGGCCATTACTATGTAATATATCATTTAATAGATAGTTCTATCTTGAACATGAATGTTTACGGTGAAAAGAACAAAAAAAGAAACGCTATTTCATTATTTAAAGTTAGGGTATTTTATTTACAACACCAGTCTTTGAATGTTTATTTTCTAATACATATGTTAAATTCTTGATTAAAAATAGAGTTCATTTTGAGAATAATTACCAATCATTTATATCTACAATATCTTTTGTCCATTTATATTGACCACCACGTTTAAAGAACATTTCTTCATCAAAACCACTTCGATCTAATGCTACTTCAACACCAACGTCAAGTATAGATGGTGACGGATCTTTACGTCCGTTTGTACAATCAAGAAATCGCATATGTTCATCAAGTATTAAATATGAATTTCTCATAGCTAAATTTGATTCTGGTACAAAACATTTTAAATGTTGATGACGTTGACAAAATTCTTGAAATTGTTCATCAGTTATAATTAATTGTCGTGCATCACGTAAATCTTTTTCTCCACCCGTATTTTCTCCATTAATAAGTAAACATTGAAAAATTTTCCATCGTATTGGTTCAAGTTCTTCAATTGCACAGGTCATATCTTCTTGATAATTAAGTGCATGTATAACAGAATTTATTTTATATATAATATCATATTGTTGACATAAATGTCTTACACGACGTACATGTGAAATTTGCGAATGATGTTCATAACCATTTGTTCGTCCTGCTTGTCGATTACATTCATCATCAAATGAATCACATGATATAGCAAGTATATCTAAGTATTTAGAATACATTTCAAACCATTTCTCTGATATTAAACTTCCATTGGAGACAATACTTGTTGCCATATGACATTCTTCTTTAGCAAAACGTGTTAATTCACCAACATAACGTCCATTTTCAATTAAAAATGGTTCACCACCAGAAAAATTAATTTTTTTTGTACCAGCTTGTTGTAATAAATATATACCACGTTTAGCTTCATCTAATGGAAGGCGATCATTAGTGAGATATGTATGAAAGCAAAATTTGCATCGATAATTACAAGCACGAGTTAAATGATAATTAACACTTAATGGGATTGGTTGTTTATGGTTTGATTGATAGAAGATATAATGTCGGATAATATTCCATATATTCATGAAGGTTTTAATAAAAAGCTCAATGAACAACATTTGTGTGGTATTATGAAATAAGAAATTATAAAATGAATGTCTTTGATGAAATTTTGTTTGCTTTCATAGGATATGAACGACTGGGAAAAAACCCATGACGTATCGAAATACCCAAACATGAAAGAAAAACATATTTTCCAGAGTGAGAGAAATAATAATAAGAATGTTCTAACGTATTCTATTTATCAACATGTTTTAGATAGATTATTTATAAATAATTATTTCTCTTCTAGTTAATCAAGTATATTTTTGGATTAAGTTAAATTATAAAAATTAATTATTAATTAATATTTATTTAATATAAGAAAACGTTTTCAGAAAACTACTGTTTTCTTCGTCAGTTCATTTACTTTTACATTCAGATAAAATTTTATATTCTTTACTACTTACAAATTTGCCTATTTTCTTTTTTCTAATAGTGAAATGAATGGGTGTAGATGTGAGTGTTTTGCATTCTTTTCAATTACCTGCAACCACAATGACAAACATGCATACATCTGTATCCACATCAACACTTCATATTATTAAGAACATGCTGACGATCACTATTTGATGGTCTCTGCAAAAGTAATAACACTTATTTTTCACTGCTTGCTACAAAATCTCATTGGTATCTTAAAACGAAAAAAGTTTTCTTTGAAAACAATTTCGAGAATTTGTTTTTTTCTATATGAATTACAAGCATGTTTCTTGTAAAGTAGAAAGAAACGATAATAATATGATAAAAAACAGAATAGTATTTGTATCTTTTTATAGTAGCATGAATTATTATTTCCAAACATCAAAGATATTGCTTTCTGTTCAATTAGATCAAAAATTAAACCACTTCTATTTCATGATACATCTGAAAAATCTTGATTTAGATATAATATAAAAATATTTTTCGTGTTATCGGATCATAATAAAACCATTTGTTCCAATGGTTTTTCTGTTGTAGCTGTATTGATCCAATGTGAAATGATTTGATTCGAAAATGTTTGTGATTGATTATCCCATGTACAATTTTGTAAATTCATCGAAATATAAGAACTTATACTTTCAAAAACGTACGCAATTTCTGCTGTATGAAAATATATGCCACTACCTTCCTCTATTAAAAATTCAGGACTATTTAATAAACAATTGTTTAGTTGAAAATAATCAGCAACTATCAGTGCCCATTTTTAACCCATAGGTAAAACTAACATTGCCATAGCAGCGGTTGAATTCATGTCAGGCAATTGAAAACATAATGGATGTTCATAATCATCATTTAATTATTGGTTTTGTTTGACGATGTTCATAAACTATGATTAAATCTTCAATAGAACAGTTGTGTAAACTTCATATAAGACACCTCATCGATAATTAAGTGTTACAATAATCATTGGTTGTTGTGTAGGTGCATGAGCAATAATATTTTTACCGTTATATAATAAAGCACTGCTTTGTGCTTAAAATCCAGATTGTAGACTATCATCAAAAATCCAGACAAGTACTGATAATAGTGATTGATTGAGTTTGACTATTGATATAAAGATGCTAGATAAACGTATTGTCGATCTTGCATAGGAATATATATATTCCAACATTCATTCGAGGACAACATGGATCAAATGAAGTAACTTCAAATGAATCATTTGAAAACATAGCAGATGCAAGATCAATCAATGGTTTTCATCGATTTATTTTAGTATATATTGAATTCTGTTTTAAAAGAATTATTATGATAAGAGCAAGATTAAGTATGTAATCAATATATTCTACATACATAGTAACACAAAAATTATGAAAGGAAAACAAATTCGAATACTTTCACAATGTTTCAACTAAATAAATTAATTCTTTTTTCTAGTAATATAGAAGATTTCCACATTTTTATTTATAAGGAAAAAGTTCATTAATGGGTGTGGGTCTTGTTGTAACTCGTACCCACCGCCACAGCGACACCCACACATCATCCATCCCCATACCCACATCTTCAGAAATTGAAAAGAACTGTCAAATTATAGATCAACCATGCTAATAGAACAAGATCCGAGTCCATACTCATTAGACCACATTTACCAAATCAAAACAGCTTGAATTTGATGCATGAGTAGACGTGTTGCTATACTTTTACAAAGCTAGAAAGAAAAGAGTCGCATTGATAGAGACAACAAATATTGAAAGTTGAGTAGGTTGGATCTTTGCATTGTTTTCATCCTTTCTTTTTTTTCTCGAAGTTTCAGAGCAAATTTTCTCATTACTCATGTAGAGAATTGTATAACGGATCATAGAGGACAAAGCTGAGGACTGATGGATGAAAATAAATCGAGGTATTGACAAAATGCTGAAACGGCTATTTATTCCGACCAACCCGTTAAAAAATTTATTTCAAGCTAAATAAGCGGCAGACAAAGCAAATCCATATGCACACATACTAATTAAAATCGTTCCTGCTGAAATTACGCAGCAATATTGTCATATTCATTTACTCCGACAATCACAATGTGGTTTACTTTTTTGTAGTGCTCATCATTTTCGGTGTAGTAGCTGGTTTCGTAGTGCTTGTCAATCTCGGCGTAGTCGTTGATGTTGTAGTGCTTCCCAATCTCGGCGTAGTCGCTGAGGTTGTAGTGCTTCCCGGTCTCGGCGTAGTCGCTGATGTTGTAGTGCTTCCCGGTCTCGGCGTAGTCGCGGAGGTTGTAGTGCTAACGGGTCGGGGCCGGGGGGCGGAT